TGACAAGAAGTGAAAATGCAAGGGGCTCACTCATCATCGCTTTCAGAGGAAGATGATTCAGAGGTGTAGTGACTTGATTCAGAAGCTGAGGAATTTGATTTGGTAGATGGAGACTTTGATGCCAATTGAGGGATTGATACATTTGATTCATTTTGGAGATTGGGTAGATGAGATGAAATCTTTGCTTGAGTTTGAGTAGAGAAGAACGCGGTAATCTTTGGCTGGGTGAGATTTTGGTTCTGTCTGAGTGTTAGATCATCCATGAGCTTGTTCAAAGCTTGCACATGTTTGGCTTCGGATTGATTGACTTCTGGATGGAAGTACTGAACTGGGCGCGAAAACATGAAGTATTTCAACTCGTTGATGGCTGATTTAGCTTGTGAAATTGTAATCGGTTGACAAGGCTTATCAGCATCATCAGCCGCCTCCTCTTCTGCTGGTAAAACTTCATGACCGGTTGTAGTGGTAGCAAGTATCTCTATGTCAGTAGGCATTGGCATTTCAGCTGCAGTTGGTTGAGTTTCAACCTCAGCGTTGAGGAGGGCTTCAATACTAATTCTATTGGAGCAGCTACTTTCTTCAAGTCTAGAGCAAGAGTCGAGTTGATTCATTTGATCATTGAGTGCTGAAACTGCTTGATCGAGGCCTGCATCAGTGGCAAAGCAAGATGTTTCATCTTTGTTAATGTCTAGATCTTCGTCTTGATAAGCCGCTATGACGCCAGTGTGTATGTTACAGTTCGTAATAGTCTCTGCTGATATCAAGTTCCAAGCTTCTTGAGCCATGAACATGGCCTTGAGTTGATTGATGGCAAATACATCCTTGGCTGGCATGTTAGGGTTATCTTTGTACCTTTGAATGGCTTCAGCAAAAAGTTCGCGCCTGTAGATGGCCTTGAAGGCCTGAATGATCCCAGCATCACAGGGTTGTAGATGACTGGTCATATTTGGTGGGAAAAATTCACATCTGATGTGACTTCATTTTACAGTTTTAGCTGCTAAAGTATGTCCGCTGAAGTTGTCAAGGAGTAGGAGAACATTGCGACCTTTGTTGGCCATTTGTTCATTGAAGTGTAGTAGCCAATCACCAAAAATGATTGCTGTCATCCATGCTTTTGAATAGAAGGTATAATCGAAGAACCAGCAAGAAGCATCTTGACGGCCAAAAGATCTCGGGCAACGAGTGTTGCCAATCACAAGTGGTTCAAGCTTATCGGAGCCATCCGCATTGCAGCAAAAAAGGTATGAAAGACATTTTTTTGAGCCTTTAATCCCAGAAGTCAACACTGTAGCTAGTGTTTGATTAGGTGGCATGCTGAAGTATGAAGAATTTGATGAGTACATACAAGAAACTTGAAGCAAAGAAGCAAATGAACAATACTTACCACCACAGGAGGCCGGTTTCATCAGCGTTGTAAATATCACAAGGCTCAAAACCTTTTGTGAGATCAACCATTTTCTTTTTTGCACTTTCAGCATTGACAGGATCAACAGCACCTGCTTCACCATGCATCTGGAAATTAAAGATGTTGTACCTCCTCTTGAACTTGTTGATCCAGCTGGTTGAGTATTTAGATGTGATTCCAAGGAGCCCAGCAAAGTGAGCAGCCTTTGTGCGAAGGACATCAGCTGTGATGATGAGCTTGTGGGCATGAGCTTCAAGAATCCAGTGGAACAGGGCTTGTTCAAGATCAGGGTGTTTACTTGTCCGGAGCCGCTTGACTGAACCGTTTCCGAGTGTTGAGGTGATGTGTATTGATGTCTTTTTTTTGAGCCATCTGCTGATACAAGCTTGATCGAGGCCAAAGTGAGCAGCAGTCTCTGCTTGCGTTGTCTTGTTGTTGATATGCCAGCGGATAACCTCTTCTTTTTTATCAAGGGAATGATTTTGTCGCTTGGGCTTGAGCACCCTCTTTCCGGCTGTAGACTTGACAGAAATAGTTGATTTAGTCTTCTCTTGTGGCGGGGATAATCTCGAGCTAGCCGACTTGCTCTTCTTGGTTGATTGAAGCTTGCCTGATTATTAATTGTAGATGAGTAATAATAACACATGGAGCTACAAATGAAATTAGTTTCTATCCTGACTCACTATGACTAGATCAAACTTGATTTTCTGGTTCTTGTGCCCGTTGGCGGATTGCTTTCTTTGCATTGGAAACCTTGGTATATCCAGACAGGAGTTGAGGCACGACCGAGGTTTCAGTAGCACCTGCTTCTAAGAACATAGAACATCAAAGTATTTGAGGACACTAAACATTTATCATTGAAGAATTAAAGAAGCGTGCAAGCCTACTTATTAGACCATTGATAATCCTGTCTAGTTTGATTGACACAAGGCCATTGTGTTCAGGTTTCCAGGTATGATGCTTGCGACATTTAGTAATATAGCCCAAAAGGCATTCTAGACCATACTTCCCGCTTTTCAAGCGCTCCTTGAAATCTGCTTCAGGAACATCTAAGCCATAGGCAGCATCCATGCTTTTATTAACTTTACCCCACATCCCCACATCTAGATCATTTGGCGAGATTATCAAGACACAGCTGAAAGTTGTAAAGATGTAACCATGCCTCTCAGCTAAGCCCAGAGGGGAGGTCCGGCTAAGAGACAAGATGCGCGCAAGAATCTGATCAACAGATGAGGTTGACATATTTTAGATGAGAAAAAATATCTGTAGATATAGAAATTTGATGTTTTGAAACTCCTGAACTTGAAGGAACTTGGTGGTGAGGGAGAAAATGTGTTCTCAGTTTCTCATGCCAAACCTGGGTGCTCAGCTGTTGTCAGTTATGTAATGCTCCAAAATGATGCACCTATTGAATAATATGTGCTAAAGAAACTTGGCAGCAAAAATGGACAGGCATTTTTTCAATTGGTCTTGGCTTTTTGAGTTGATTCAGGCTAAAATGTACTCCACTTCACTCCACTTCACCTTCCTTTCTCACATCACATAGAAGCATAACCACATGTATAAATTATGCTATGCTTCTTTTTTCATGCTTCACATGAAATTTTACAAGCATATCAGTCAAAACCTGGAGCATATGCTTAAAATGCTTATAAATCTGAATTTACCTCCTACCAAAAATGGTTGCACCATTTTGTATGCTTAATACAAAATATGCTTGTAAAGGCAATGCTTAAAAAGGAATCTCACTGTATTACAATTGTTAATGAAGGGGAACCCAGGATGAAAAGGAATATATTTTTATTCCTATACCTGGGTCCCCCTACCAGGGCCACCCCCATGCCCCTGTAAGTAGTACGTTAAGGACTTGTATAGATTGTAAGTTTTTGATGACCTGTAGCGGAGGTTGTACTATATCTGTGATAAGGGTTTTACATCCTTTAGTACATATATGTGTTAAGGCTCAGACCGGCTAGGCACCAAAGCAGACAAGCCACTCAGCCAACTCACCTGTTTTTGGTTTAGGCTAGTTAGAATGATTAGGAAGCTTTAGCTCAAACCGGTCAGAAGGTTTCTGAAGATTGTGATCTAAACCAGGGTTTCTCTTTCTCGTGTTTCATCATATTGTAAATGCCTTGTGAAACATGTTTTGTATAAAAGCTACTGTGTTCTTCTGAAACTTGTGTTGTCTTTTCTCTCGTCACATTATCATTTTGTTTTGGTAGAATAGCACTAACGCTAGTCCTTCTAGGTAGAACTACATTTCTCTTTTATGCAATAGTCACATTATCATTTTGTTTTGGTAGAATAGCACTAACACTATTCCTTCTAGCTTTGTCCCACTCTACAATATGAACACAATATGTAATATTATGTGTAAGACTTAATAATTAATGTATTACGGATATCCACATAAGTTTGGTATAGTATACCATAACCAACCCCGCCTTGTAGGAGTGGAATATCTCACTCCCCCTCCAGAGGAGGGGAAGCAGGATTTACTGGATTACTTGAAGTTACATGAACATCACTGGCCCAATTTAGCATGTATGGAAAGAGCTATGCTTGCTGTACCTGCCACTAGTGCTCCATTGAAGAGGTGCTTTTCTAGTGCTTTACAAGTCATGAGTGACCACTGTGCATGTGTATTTCACCCCCTAAAATCTTGAGCCTCAAGTGTGTTTTCAAAGTTGGTCCAAGGAGTTCAAGTAAGATTTCTTTTCTTCCAGGTAGTTATATAATAATATGATAGCCATATGATAGCCTTCTATACATATGAAACTGCAATCTTTATCATCAAATTATGCCCCTTCTGCCTATCTTTGCCTTTAAATTTAGCCTTCAATGTATCTCACAACAGCCTCAAATCAATGTGAATCTGCAATGAAATTCCCTTCTGCCTGTTTTTGTGCTTAAAATGGAGCTCAAAGAATGTCCCTTCCACCGGTTTTTGCACTCAAAATGAGCCTGGTCCTGAGTCTTACAATTCAGGGTGCGCCTTGACTGGCCCTGGGGTGGCACCATCACTTCTGGTCTTGGTTCATAGTCCAATGCTGTAGCATAGATTTACATACCATTGTGAACACAGGAAAGCTTTTATGTATCACATGCATGTAAGATGTACAAAGCACCTGTAAGAGCATCTCCAGAAGTCCAACCTTTGTGAACTGGTAAAACATGTACAAGGCCCTCTCAAAATGTACAGCTTGCTGTATTCTCCCTCAATAAGTGAGTTCCCTCCAACACAAACCTGAAAAGAACTTTCCAAGGTTATTCCCCTGCCAAAAACACACAAGCTCAACCTGATCCATAATAAATGATATTTCATTGAGGTGTTCTGTGAACCTTTAAACATGATAAAGCTTCATGTGGTTATTGCTGGACACATGAGGTACAATTGTGTCCAACACATCACCAATACTGTGGTATTCATATTTGTAAATGACTCTTGGCCTATAAAGATGTTGACATGTGAAACCTAGTATCCCTGAAAATGATTCTCACACATGTTGCCAGGTTTGAGAAAACTGGTGACCCCTGGATGATTGACATCTTTGTTGCCAAAGCCCTTTTCACCTTGTCTTTTTGTGTCCAATCAATCAATCCATCTCAGATTTTGAGAAAACTCCATGATAGCCACTGTAGCAAGGAAAAACAGTTGTCACACTATAGACAGTGAAGCAAATTGACCGCACATTACGTCTGTGGGATTCCATCTTGACCATTGTAGCACTGTAGATCTCTGATAATAAAGATAGCAACTCCGTTGCAAGCATTTGAGGTCTGACAATATCACTGGTAGGATGAGTCCCATTTGGTCAAAGATTTCCTCCCAATGTGAGAGTGGGTCACCCTGCCTTTGGGGGCAATGCCTGCGCGACACTGTACAGATGCTGTTCGTCAACCGCCATTTGTTCAAATCATAGACATACTTTACCTGCCCCGTCCTATTGATGTAGTTGATGTACTCGGGCGAAGGAGAGCGCTCGTCATGTTTCAGCTTTCGAGACATAGCTCCCTTAATGGTTACTTATACAAGGCTCATTTGAGAGAAAGCTAAAGCTGATGAAAGTAGTTGTTACGTTTCTTTCCCTCACAAGATACGCGTAACGCAGGTCACTCAAGGGTGCGATGTAAATTGGAACCAAGTCTTCCGTTCCGCTTTCGACATCTACAAGTTGAGCCTTGGGAAATTGGGAATCATCTTTGACTATTGTAGCTCTAAGCGTAGCATGATATCAAATGTATCCGTCTGCGGTGCTCATGCCCTCACGGTATGAGATGTCTACCAGCCCCCACGAGTCACGGTAGTAGCGCAGCGCCAAGTCAGCTTGAAGTAGAAGCGCCATTTTGGCCTGAAGATTATCTGAGTGCAAAACGATTAGGAATCAAGGTTGATACTTACCGCATTGCGGTAGAGTGCGTGGTAGGATGCGACCCAAGGTGGGATAAACTCTTCCTGTTTGAGCTGTGTAGATGCGATTCTCCTGTGCTTCAATCCCGAAACAAGACCGAGCTGGTCCATACACACAATATGATGGTGCTTGAGAGCGTCCAATTTCGCACAGCTCTCTCCGGAGTTGCTATATAGAAGTTTTGCAGGCACACCACATCAGTTCTATTAGGACATTCTTGCGTATAAGAAGGCCTTTTAAACCAAGCCCGATTGTTGAGACCTCATCAGATACCTTTCTACGAGCTCTCCTCTTTGCTCTAGAAGATCACTTCTCCCTTATACCAAGTCGAATACCTTGAGATTTCATACTTCGATCTAGACGCCTACCTTGCCGCAAGATTCGGCTCTTTCATTACTTGAGCCTTATTTGAAACAATCAGTACATAGTCTTTGAAAGCCCCCGATCACCGTAACCCTTATGATCAACCATTTTGGATTGCTTCTTCTTCTTATGTACGGTGTGATCCAAGATATTCAATGTCACGACACAAAAGAAGCAGTAGCACCTAGAAAGGAATACAAACTGGACTGCGAATTCGAGGTTTCTTCCAAGAAGAGATTGCGTAAGTATGAGTGGATCGTGACTAATACCACTGGAGCTCCCGATGGCTTTTGGCGTTCTGTGCTCGCAATTAACAATCAAATGCCCGGCCCGTTGATTGAAGTACGTGATAAATACATGCTTGATGGACCCAGTGAGAGCTCCATGCTGACTCAACATTGACGACAGGCGAATGAAGGTGATGATGTGGAGGTGACCGTCATCAACAAACTCGATTCTCCGCTTACTATTCACTGGCACGGCCTTTATCAGGTAAGGGATGGTTGCTTCCACCGAACAGTCTTTTCCCTCATTGTATCTGAGCTTGTAACTGAGACAAAATACCACCAACTTGCAAACAACCATTACGTCTGCTTTACTGCCTTTCGCTCGTCGCGGCTATTTTTGGATGGTGATATCAACTTAGAATGGAACAAAGTGAGTCGAGGATAGCCATTTGTATCGCAGTCGCCAAGCATGATCCTGAGCTGACATCTCCTTTCATAGCTGGGAAGATGGAATTTCTGGTAACGTTCACGATTCTCGTAGCTAAAACACACCTCGGCTAAAATAAAAACTTCAATTGTTAAGGTATCACACAATGCCCCATTCCAGCTGGAGTCACATACACTTACAAGTTTACACTGGCCAATCAGTGAGTTTTCAATGCATTTCTTTATCTTTGAATTGTCCGGCTGACTGGTTCGATGCGGTCATGACAGGTATGGAACATTCTGTAAGTCAAGAATGGATATCGCCTCGAGATTTCTTAATGCACTTATTTCTTGAGCCTAATGCTGCTTTCCTGAACCTCCATGTCGGAATGACCAACTGTGAAGGGTATCAGTAAGTTTCTTCGGTATTTGCTCAGACGCGTAACCTGGGAAGTGTCTCTGATAGTTTGCTTCTCAAGTGCTCATTACCAGTCCCTCAAGACGGATGGGCTTGTCGGCCCGTTGGTTGTCCACTCGCCGCGGGATCCATTGAAGCGCGGAATCGACTTTGACGAAGAGATTGTATTGCTCTTACAGGACTGGTACCACACGTGAGCCACGCAATTCAGTGCAGTGATGGAATGCCTCAGTGACAAGTGCTGACAATGAGTCGAGTTAGTCCCTCAAATGTGATTGACCCACAGATGAGGTCGACCCAAGGATATATGGGATTCCCGTCGCCGCCGAGTGCCAACTCAGCACTTATCAATGGGATTGGCCAATGGGATTGTAGATTCGCTTTGACCGATGATCGTTGCAGAAAGAATTCACCTCCAGAATTTCACCTCGTTGCCGGCACCAAAACCCGGTTCAGGTTGATTCAGGCCGGGTCTCATGCTATGTTCTTCTTCTCAGCTGATGAACATACCCTTAATGTCACTGAGGCTGATGCTACACCAGTACACGGACGTCAGTCTTCCACAAGAAATGCACCTCCTTTTTTATCACAAGCTATTGCTTATAACCTTTGACGCGACTGATTTATGAATCCACCCCATCTACAGCTCCTGCCATCCACAGAGTCAAGTTTCACAACGGCCAAAGGTACTCTGTCATCTTGAGCGTGGCTGCCAACGAAACCGGTACTAGCTTCTTTCTGAGGGCTTCTATGGATCCCGATTGCTGGGTCTGGTAACGCCATTTTGCTAGCAGAATTACTACCCAATGCAGTTGAGACCAGGCTAACCTCGTGTTTTTGTCCGCTGTGTATCAGGGTGACAAGCGATTTGCAGAAGACTGCCTTTGCAATTATACGTGTCGTCGATGCAACCACCAGGACTTTCTCCACAAAGCGACCTACAAGCAGAGACTGGGCGGATCGAATAAATGGAGACTGTAGAGATCTCGATCCCAATACATTAGTACCTATCATTCCTGTCCGAGTACCTCAAACAGTCGACGGGGCGGGGGCGTTGGCTGTTGGCTTAGGCTTTCGAGTTTTTTCGACAGGTGCCCAACTGCCTACGAGTGCTGGGGTACCTAGCTCAAACAATTCGAGACCTACACATCCTGTGTTGCAAATCAAGGACATCAAGTCTGGAATTGTCAGTATCCCTCCGCCTGGTACCAACACCACTTTACCCTCGATTACTGTCAATGCTCAGGTGACATCCGCTCCAGCTGGGGCCGGGGGGGCTTATTTTGTTAACAACGTGACATGGCAAGGTTGGAGATCTTTTCTATTGTAACGTTCTGAATGATTAATAAGAAAGAATTGCTGATGAAACAATGTGAAATCTCTATGCGAATCAAAACTTCCTAGCAAATCAACTCAATCCTGTGCTACACGACTTTGCTGCAGGTGGACCGGGACGCACTGATAACTCAAAGATTGCCAGTGTGGTAGTAAGTGGATCTCTTCCAGGCTGAAGATTGCAAAGAAGCATGCTTATGTTTGATTCTGTGCGAGAAGTATCCGACCTTGGGCTGGTATGATCTGTACCTTGTGAATTTGGAGCAAGCAACGAACCACCCTTTTCACTTGGTAAGTCCCTAAAGGCGGCAGTATTCCTCATAACCATTTGCATCAGCTCAGCTGATGTCAATCTTGAGACATCTACACATCTTCTTAATCGAATCAGCACGGCCCAGAGATGCACATTGTAGCCATTGGAACCGGCACACCAACACCTGAAAATCTCAGGAACTTGACTTATTCTACACAAAACCCCCTACGAAGGTACTGAATTTTGAAGTTTTGTTTTATCATGGAGTCACATCTGATCGCTCAGTTTGTTTTTTGAAAAATATAGGGACACAATCTTTCTACAAGGTGGCACTTATGCTGTAATAAGACTACGTACAGATCTTCCTGGGATATGGGCCGTGGTAAGTATACCAAAGCGCATAGTTTTGTCAGAGGCGAAGATCAAATCCCCATAGTTCTTGATTTGCTAACATTCCACGCCTCATTGTTTACTTATAACCTAGCATTGTCATATTCAATTTCATTTGTAAGTTTTGGTCTTTCTGCGTAGCGAGCTTACATATCTTTCCCGCATCAGAAGAGAAACTGATTATATCTAACTATGGTCATTCTTAATGTCATTTGGTGTTCAGGGCTGATGGTACGCACTAAAATGGATTTTCCCATTCGACAGAAGCTGACTTATTTTCTTACCCAGGGTTTCTCGGTATGATCGTGATTCAACCGGATAAGATCAAGAATTTCAAGATTCCTCCGAAGACCAGAGATCTTTGCAAGACTCCCATCCCTTCTCTTAGGATGTACGCCGATCGTATTTGAGCAGCTCTTTTTTCATTATTTCTTGCATTTTCTGTGTATACTTTTCATCAAGAGAATCAACGGGATTGAGGTTTATAACTGTAATTATTGTATATACTACTGATTTTAGCTGCTAACAAACTTGTTTCATCTCTTTATCCATTTGATTACAAGTTGGACATTTTTATGCCTGTGCATACTTTTCATCAAGGCAATCAACGGGATTGAGGCTTATAACTGTAATTATTGTATATACTACTGTCACTGATTTTAGCTGCTCAGAACACATTTGTTTTGTTCCTTTATCCATTTGATTACATGTTGGACATTTTCATGCCTGCAATTCACATCTCAAATCGGTGATCGAGGGTCTTTGCCTGAGCCACTTCACTTGATTGGAATTTTATGAAGATTGAACTGGCATCGTGATAGTCTCCTGTTTATACTTTCAATGAACCTTTGACCCCGAGTTCTACATTGTTATAAACTTGAGAAAAGAGTTCAAATTCTATAGTATCGACATCGAAGCACTCTGGTTAAAAATGTATCTCAAAAACTTGCACACGAAAGAGGTCCTTGGTGACCATGCTTGAATCGAGCTCAAAGCTCTTTGAGACATCCACCTGAAATCTTCACCCAGGGACCATATTCAGAGCACTCAAAATAATTATCAAAAATCAAACTTCGAGCATCACTCTGCCCTTTGGAATTTGGTATCCATCCCGTCACTTATGGGATACAACGTTAAAACCCCGCTTTTGTCACCCTCCCAGTTTCTCAACTCGGCCTTCTTGGCAATGGCAATTGTAAGAGATATGGCTGTTGTTTAGCTTGAAAATCGTTGTTTTATGTGAATCTGAGTTCTGTGAATAGATGCGACTGATGTAACAGGGAGTGCTAAAAGACCTCGATGCTCTTTGCTCTATCAGTCAACATCGTATATTTAACATAGTCCCACAATGTCGCTCGCAACATGGGCAAGCAAGGTAAAGTCTGATAACTTGCATATTTGACTTGACAAGCAATCAAGTGTTTGTGGATGTCACAAGACAGTTTGACCTGTGAAATATAGGCCTGGCGTTTCAAACTTTTGTCTGCTGGTTTTAGACCAAAACCTAACCCTACCACATCCTAACCATTTTTGGTTTAACTCAGCTCAGCTCTATACGCTCATTGTTCAACCACATCGCATTATCTGCTCTCCCTTTCGCGGTATCCACAAGTTCATCGTAGAAAGAGTCTTCAAGGTCTTTCGGACCATTAATATTCGAACATGACATCCAAAAATGGCGCAAGCAAGGCAACTGAATCAAAAAAGATGTCATCCATCAGTTTAGGCAAACTAAAAAAAACTTCAACTACTCAAGCCCCAGTAATTTCAAGCGGTATTCCTACAAACGTGGACAACGATGATGATATTATGATCGATTTAGACACACCAGCACCACTGGTTGGACCTAGTTCGACTGTTAACAAACCCCAAGAAGGAGAGGATACCTTAATGCAGTTTGGTGAAGTTAAGGAGCAAAAGAACGCAAAAGGTCTTACACAGACTGCCAAGGTATGTCAAACTGACTGGCACTCACATATCGTATGGATTCTACGTCAAGTTTGGTTTTTGACATCATGGGTCTCTTAGGTTCCAATCCCACCACATCGAATGACTCCTCTAAAAGCATCATGGCCACAGATCTATACCCCACTAGTAGAAGAGCTAGGCTTACTAGTACGAGTCAATCCAAGCGGTCGTCGGATAGAACTCAAGACATCGAAACACACTCTTGCTCCAGCTTCTTCTACAATGACTAAAGCTATGAATTTTTTACAATGTTTCAACCTTGGGTTTGCAGTAGAAGATGCAGTAGCATTATTAAGAATTGAAGAAATCTATATCGAATCATTTGAAATTAAGGATGTCAAAGCCTTAACTGGTGATCATTTGAGTCGTGCTATTGGACGAATTGCTGGTAAAGATGGTAGAACTAGGTTCACTATTGAAAACACCAGTCGAACAAGAATCGTGTTAGCTGATACGTAAGTTATTTTTGATTGTATCAATTACTTGTCAGATGGGTTTGTTCATTAACGTTGTTTTCTGAAATTAGGAAAATCCACATCTTAGGGTCTTTTGCTTCTATTCGAATAGCACGTGATGCGATTTGTGCCCTAATTCTTGGTTCGCCCCCTGGAAAAGGTACGTCAATACACTTCAAGGCTTATCTTTTTTCATCTCATTGGCTGACTCTCTTCAATCGACTATTCTTATCAGTTTATCACGGGTTGCGCACAGTTGCTGCTCGACAACGTGAACGTTTTTAGTTCAATCTATTTCTTTTGAAAATGCTACATCTTGATACATAGCCTTTTATTCAGCGAGCACGACCCGCTTCTCTTGATAAGGAGGTCTCTCTGGTCATCTCCTTTGACCCTTTAGCTTTTCTATCCCACCATTATGGATCGCCAGTTTACCGTGAAGCCATGATCATGCCGGTTTTTCGACTGTCTTATACCGATCACCAGGACCCACACCTGTGGATAACGGATCCTTTTTCAAGTGCATGTGAACAACCATATCAATGATTCCAAAAGAAAATGTTTACAGGCTTTTAAGCCTCGATTTCAATATCTAGACAGACGTTTTTCAAGTCGCTTTGTGATGTGTTACTATCTTTCCTTGACCAGAATGAAAATATCAGTTTTTGCACTAAAGTACTATTGACTACAACATGACTATCACATAGTGGTGGGTGTCACTGTTGACAGATAAAATGGTTGCTCTAAGGATAAGTGACCAATACAAAAGCACCAAGAAGACGGTAAGAAACGTAAGGAGTCATTGCATTTAGAGAATGAGTAATGTTGCCATTTTGGGACACAGAGGTTTAGAAGATATCATCTAAAACACGCCTTCTCTTGCGGCGTGGTAAGTCTACATTGCCACTAATTGGTGGTAGACCATGTGATGGACCTTGCGCGTGGGTTGACGAGGATCCAGCAAGGCCTATCTGACATAAGGTATTTGTTGGTTCTGTTGCTAATTTTAAAGACACAGATTCTGAGCCGGTTAGTGTAATACCTTATGATACAAATGTTGCTTTTAATTAAACAAGAGCTAGAAGTCTGAGGGAATAAGACTAGTTAGTAACTAGTAGAGAAGAAATCTCTATGACAAAAGAAGTGAGCAAACCTGCTCAACAAAGTGATGAAAAGGAATTGGTAGGGAAAAAGAGAAAGGTACAAATGTAGCAGAGAACCTTTATCTTTTATATACCGACAACATCACCAAAGGCAATCACAGCAAAAGATCTTATTACTAACAGGATGACATCATAGATATGAGATTAGTAATTACAGTCTGACCTGCGCAAATGCATACCCGCGCAACTGCATAACCCGTGATAATGCATAAAAAAAATCCTAAATTTTGATACTTTTTACTGCCAAATTTGACAATGGAATTGCATAACCCGTCAAAATGCATAGCAAAAGCCTTCCACCCAAGTTATGCATTTGCGCGGGTTAGACTGTAGTAAGTAGAGAATAAACTATAGGATCAGACAACCCAAAGAGATGTCTATATGTCATACTTCAATTCCCTCCCCGGTTCTCGAAATCTATATAAGATTTATTTTCCTACAAAAAGCTTTTTGCTTGAATGGTGGTAAAGACTTAGTTAGCATGTCTGCTAACTTGTCAGTAGTAGGAATATACTTGAGTGTGAAAGTATTCCTCTCAACATGTTCCCTTAACCAGTGATATTTCACGTTGATATGTCTAGTTCTATTCTGAAATTGTGCATTCTTTGACAAACCAATGGCACCTTGATTATCAGCAAGCAGCAATGCAGTAGTTTTTAAAGGTTTGTTGAGATCTTTCGCGAATTGAGTAAGCCACCTTAAGTCTTGAACACCTTCATACATTGCAGAATACTCAGCTTTGGTTGAGGATCCTGCGACACTTTCTTGTTCCTTAGATCTCAAATTGATACACCCAGTTCCTATATGTGAAGCCATACCAGTTGTTGATTGCCTTGTATTAGGGCAACCAGCAAAGTCGCAGTCACTGTAAGTTGGAACATCAGAATTGCTACCTCCCAAAACTAAACCATAGAACTGAGTAGCCTTCAAATACCTCAACACCCTCAAAACCTGGGTGAGACAAATGAAAGAGTTAGTAGTGTCCTCTTCATCCAAGGTATAGATTTGGATTATAAATCATATTACTGTGCAAGCATCTGCAGGTGATTGAAATAGCCGGCCAATGTGTGAGTCATGAAGTAGTGCTGCACAACTTAAAAAGTAACCCTGTGGTTACCCTTCTTCAAAGGAATAGTATTCATGAGTTGCTTCATGTCGGACATAGCATGGTGTGTATGTGATGTTGCAGTCTATCATACAGTCATTGAAATGATCAATTCTTCAGCATGCAATCTTTGCCATCATGAATGGATGGGGTACTGACCTCAACAGTATCCTGAGAAATATTGAACAGATTCAATACCTGAAACATCAAGTAAATAACCATAAAGCTGACAGCACATCTCCAGTGGCAAGTTGCAACTGAGACAAACATTGGTAGGGGGATGGAAGGTGTGTTCTGGTATTATAATAGCATCTGGAGGGTGAATTACAGGTGGAATGCCTTTGGCAAAGAAATGTGATGGATCAGGAACACAATCAGCAAGGTCTTCATAAATCAGGTGCCAAATTTGTGACCATGACTTTGGGGTTTGTGAAGGGCCAAGGCAGCATGTTAGGAATTTGATGGGGGCTTTGGTGGGTGTGGTGCCATATGCGTCTTTGGTCCTCTTTAAGAACTCACCGACAAGGGATGCTAAGGTGACAAGTGGGCAGATGGTTAGGCTATCATATGTGTTGGGGTACTCTTGCAATAGTCTGGTTATAAGGTCTTTGACAAGCATGTTGTTTGTAATTTAAAATTGGAACATATAAGAAATGGTGTAAGTAAAGCAAATAAGAGACTGGATGGTTTTATCAATATAATGTATTTTATAACCAATGGCGGTGATTGTCAAGTTATACTACATGGTTGAGACACCAGGTGTTTGAAAAGCTCAACTTGGAAGGGTCACTAAGTTACTTGAATACTTCCATCCTCCGACTCATATAAAAGTCAAAGTGATTGTTCATTTTATCTTTCATTTTATCTTCTGTATCATCTTTATTTTCTTTCTAAATCATCTTTTTTCATTTTTCTCATTCTCCTTCTTCAATGATAGACCAGTGACGATCCCAGGTCATACAGGGGTTGGTGGTGCAAGGCCACACTTGTGTGTGGTCTTTGAACTCACTATAACCTTTATGCTCATTGTGATGGGGCTAAGGGTCAATCAGCCTGCCCTCGACAATCTCAAGCCATCAACAGTGGTGCCGTCCTCCCGCTAACTTGGGATCAAGAGCAAGCAGTCTCTGCAACTGCTACCAACGATCTCAATGGACAACCCACACTTGACGCTTTCCTATTGCAAGCTACTTTCAGCGTTAAATTATGCAACATTGTCTTGGTAATATGGATACTAAAGCATGTGCTTCCTTTCAATAGATTATACAACAACCCTCTCCGTGCAGCTTCCAAGCTAGCCAATTGCCAAGCTGCATTGAGGAGTCCAACTTGGGCTGCTGGTATGGCCAAGGAGTTGTACCTCAGCTTAAGTTCAGCAGCTATTGCTTCAGTATTGGTATATTGGTTGATCTTGGTTTTGTTGGACCTTCAAATTTACATCATTATCCAATTATTTGCTACTTGAAAATCAAAATAGAACAACTCTGGCAAGCTGTCCTTGGTCCATGATGTATGTATCACCAAAGGAAATCAATATGCCTTTATTGGGGTTTTGGCCAACTATATCAATGAAAATTGGAACTATAAAACTATCCACCTCACTTTGGTGCTGGTTGCTTGGAACAAATTTGGTTATTTAATTTCTCAGCCTGTGGCACAATTCTTGATGACTCATGGTCTCCATAAAAAGATGAGTATTTTCTTGCCTTTTCAGCCTTTTTAAGTTGGGCTGATTTTTTATTTCTTTTCTGTTTGTCTCTTGTCTTCTTCAATTCTATTCAATACATCACATTGTAGTACAAACCACCAACTCTGGAGCATCCAACAATACCATGGATAGGGAGATGGAGGAGTTGTTCTTGGAGTGTGATGATCCAATTGACTGGGGTTCAGCCAAGAGTCCGCTGCTTTTCCCACAAGCTTGGGTTGGTTGTCAATAAGGGGCTCAAAGTTTTAGCATTAGGCCACTGGTTAAATCAAGCCAACCATCCCTCTCAATGTGTACATTCCTGTTCCCACATTGCTTTTGAACAATGATCTCACCAACAGTGCTATCAACTACAATGATTCCAACAATGAGGATGATGTCCTCAATCCTCAACCTCAGTGCGACACAGCCATCTTGAGAAATGAGGATGAATATGATCATTATCCATCCTATGAAGACGTTCCAATAGATGGATGTGTGGTGGTCAAAGGTACAATGGAAGTGAGTCACCTTTCACTATTTTACTTCTATCTTGTTCAATAGCCAATTTAACTAACCGTTCTTTTCATAGTCAAGGGAATTCAACACCTTGCTTACCCAGAGCAACGCCAGGTGAGGCAAGGTTCACACACATGCTGACCATATGGGATACCGCAGCCCAGGACCACTTGCTGGCTAGGGGGTGCGTTGGAACATTGATCTTGTGATGTATTCTCACCTTGTGGCTGCACGCAATGAGAGTTCTCCTTCTTTCTGTCAAACTTTGGAATCAGTTCTGATACTAACATTCCCATTCTAATGATTCACTTGTTGTAGGTTGTTGATTCTATTCTCATTGGTGATCAGAAGAACAGATACTACAATGGTATCAAAATGTCTGTGGATGAGTGGGATTCAGTCAATTCCCTATGCAAGGTCTTGGAAGTAAGTGTTTTATTTTTTAATTTCTAATTCATATATTCTAATTTCTTGATTTCCTTAATCTTTTTCTGATTTAATCTTTTTATTCGCTTTGATAGGTGTTTTGTCTTTCAACCAAAATATCTGGATCAATGCTGCTTGCAGAGTACCTCTGCGTGAAAGACTCCCTGACCGAGCTACACTCTACCACCATCTTCCCAAGCCTCCAAGACATGATCAAAGTCATGTTGAGCCAGCTTTCCATTTATCAGGACAAAGCTTTGAGTTCTGATGTGGTAATCTTGGCAAGCATCTTAAACCCCAAGTATTGACTCTGATTTTTTGAATTACATCACCCTAGGGCCTGATCATGCTGCACAAGCTAGGAAGCTTATCAAAGACTCATTCAACACTACGTTGGAAAATTGGACAGTCACCCCAGCCTGCACCACATCTCTAACTCCTCCTTCTGGCTTGAATGAAACCTCAACCTTTGATCACTTTGATCTTTTCACATTGTCTGTGAGCCTTCAAACTCCTGATTCAATATGTGCTTCCAAATTCAAGTCTTACCTGCAGCCTCAGGGTAGTAATCTGATTGTACCTGGCCAATCAGAACTGTCTTGGTGGGAGGTAAGTTTCCTTTCAGTAACCCGCATTTGAACAATTGCCCGACTGATGATCTTGTATTTGGGCAGTGACAGCAAAACCAACCTGACTTACAGGCTCTTGCCTCCATGGCACGCGACTACCTCACAATTTCTGGTACACCGTGCGCTTCAGAACAGACCTTCTCCTTGGCGGCTGACATAGCTGTTCCTGAACAAGGTTCCTTAAAACCAAAGACCACATCTTGCGCAATCCAATGCAGGGAATGGCTAAGAGGGGGTATTATGACAGACGGCAAATTTTCTGATGCCCTTGCGTATCTTGCCTCATTTGAAAGCCATGTACGCAAATGATGACATCATCTTGATTTCTATCCTTTTGTCTTACTTTTTTCTTTGGCCTTGTGTTTCTATTCAATATCTTTCTTTCTTCTAGTCTTTCTCCTTTTTCTCTTTCTGGTCTCAACTTTCTTTTGTTTCTGTAACCTTTCTAGTCACTCATTAATGTTCTTTTCAGTATGGTTTTTTGTTCAGTTTTCCTTCTTTAGCCTTTCCAGTTACTCATTAATGTTCTTTTCAGTATGGTTTTTTGTTTAGTTTTCCTTCTTTAACCTTTCTAGTCACTCATTAATGCTCTTTTCAGTATGGTCCTTTGTTTAGTTTTCCTTCTTTAACCTTTCTAGTCACTCATTAAGTCTCTTTTCAGTATATTTTGTTATTTAGTCAATTTGTACATATTTATTTTCTTTGTCAATATTGAAAAAAATGTGAATAAATACTGCCGCCTTGGGCCGCTGCCTCCACTTGAAATTTGACAAAGCGGAGCGAGCGCGGCTCCAAAAGCCGCTGTGCTACACAAGCCATGTAGCAGGCTTGTCTTGAGAGCGGAGCGCAAGCGGGTTACCTATGTAGCGGAAACCCGCCCCTCTACAAAACAACCGCTAAAAAGCGGATCACTTCAGGTGTCGGTACATACAGGTAAATACACTATCTCTTGCCAGAAGTCCCTCGCTCGATGCCGAATGGGCCGTGGGACTTTTGCTAAGTTTCCCTCATAACTTTCTCTCACATATGCTCAATGTTGGCTTTTGTGAGAAAAATCTGGATTGGAACTGATGATTTCAGCTAAAGTGAAGCTGTTGAAATGTCCCTGACTTATTCTCCTTTGCTTAAACTTTGTCAACCACTCAATCTTTTTAAATCAAGTTCTTGACCCCATTAGCTTGCTCAGCGAACACATTTACTCAAAGATGAATTTCATGATTATAGTTCTATTAAAATTATCTTTATATCCTTCCTTAAGTCGTGGCCATAGCCCACCCAGCCGACTCGTGGCTCGCGACACATTGACAGGCCAAGACAAATGTACCCCGGTTACTGACAATGATCCAAACACCAATATTTTCAACTGTGATGAGCCAAAGGATTTGAATGATTGTCAGCGGTAAGTGGTTCGGAGCTTAGACCAATTCTCACCCAATACCTTCTACTTTCTTTTACTGACTTGTCCATTTTTGCTGGATTGTTTCAGCGCTGGTCAGATAATGATTCAAAATGGATGGAGTAGTAGTGGGTATGGAACCTGTGGCGTGAGTGACAACTTTGTGAACAAATCATTGTTGCAATCGATCTGATTGCTTTCTCGAACACTGCGCCCAGATCTTCTTAAACTTATTGTAGCTCCTTCACCATTACCACCACTTAACCTAAGTAGGAAACCACATGTTGAACCAAGTAGTGACGGATTGGGATAAAGAAGAGGTCAGCAATGAAACATAGAGATGAGAAGAGACTAGGACGGATTGGGAAAGGAAGGAGGAGAATTTTCACCTATTTGTAGTTTGTGTCTGTTCAGAAACCGTTGTTCCCCTTTTTCTCATCTGAACTATTTTTACTCTTTTTCATTCGAGTTCATTTCCTCACGAATATTATCTAATCCGTTCGGAATAGGTTCGAGAGCTTTTCATTCCAATCTCTCTGTTATTTCCTGAGCGAAGTTCTGATTGAACTTCTATAAAAGTTTATCAGATCTTGTACTTTGGGAAAGACGCCCAAGGGAAACTGGCACCGGAAGTCCCGTATAAAGAGTGAGCCTTCCTCTGTGTCCGTGAAATATATGTCGCTGATTTTTGTTTGCTGTATTCACTTTTTTCAGCTTGACTGCGAACATTTTGAAGAACACACTGAACAGCTTTACAGTTGACTGTTGCCCTGAGGTTCAAAACAAGGTATATAACTCGTCGTAATTTGTCTGATTTCCATCCTAGTTTGGCAACATATGATTAGCTTTTGTTCTAACTCACAGCTTTTTATCATTTTGCTCTTGGTTTTTGCAGTTCCAGCACCCACTTCATAGCAATCTAGGTGCAGATCCCGCGACTGCCGACGGTTACACTGTTCTATGTGCTGACGTGTTACACCCGCCCTATCAGGATGCTAGGCCCCTGGACAACAAAGATGTCACACCACGGGAATTAATAAGTTCAAAACCTGATTGAGCAAAATTGCGGTGTCCGAGTCCGCAATTCCACTCAATCGTGGATCTAGTTCACAACTCGTTTGCATTACGTTCACAAGCTTTCCTCGAGTTCCCCAGCTAAGCCTATGTACACATATACACACGGCCTACATGTAAAAAGGCCCCTTTCAGAGCAAAGATGTAGCCTCAAGAATATTTACTTTAGCAAATCCAGATTTGATGACTGAGGAATCTGTAAACATAGTAGACTCAGGATTGAGAACTTATAAGAAGGTTGAAGGGTGACCAGTTGACCCAAGCCATTTACAGCTGAAGGGAAACTTGTGAACGTAATGTGAACAAGTTGTGAACTAGATCCGCGATTGAGCAGAATTGCGGACTCGGACACCACAATTTCGCTCAATCGGGTTTTGAACTTATTGATTCCCGCGGTGTCACCGTCTTCATAAAAAATAATAAGCACTACTTAGAACAAGAGTGACCTTTCATTCTGCTGTCAGCTTTGTCATCCCATGAAGCAGTACATCACAGCAACTGTTGAAGACTTGAATCACTGGTTGATGCTCTTTGTGATAGTCAGAGTGATGAATATGAGCATGAAAACAGTAACCACCAAGCATTGTTATACATATTTGGTTACAACACCTACATATATGACTCCAATTCTACAAGAAAAATTCAACTCTATTTTCCTCTACATTGGTATTCTCCTCCTAAGGCTATGATGTATGCTCCCAAAATTTTACTTCTTTTTACACAAGACCCTTGAATTATAAACCTTGCTTCCCCAACCTTTTTTGCCTGGCATTGAGCAGCTCCCCTTTGGAACAAGATGCCTACGGCTATTTTTTGCCTTGGCTAGCATGCTCCTTAATTTTAATATATGCTCCCATTCAATAAGAAGTGTTTTTTATGTAAGCAAGAGACTTAGCCGCCGCAGTGACAAGTTTGGGAGTCACGTGAGTCATTTGGCCTTTCGGTTATGTAATTTTGTTGGTTAAATTTTGAGAGTAAAAGCTGAGACTGTAATTAACTTACTGGAGGTCAGGCTCAGCCTCAGACGCGCCTACGTTTCCCAAGCGCGATGAGAATTGGAAACACTTGAACGTCATCAAACTAGCATCATCTTTTTGAAATGAGTGGATCTACTTCTACAGCAGCACCAGCAAAGTCAAACGGTACCTCAAGTGGAAAGAAGAAATCTTCTGAAGATATCCCTTGGTATGACAATTCTCTAAGTCATCGAAGAAAGAAATGATTACTCATGATCTGTTGCGACAGGGTAGAAAAGTACAGACCGATAATCTTGGATGATATTACCGGAAATGTGGAAACGATTGAACGTTTGAAAGTGATTGCAAGGGATGGGAATTGTCCTCATATCATTATCTCTGTTAGTGTTTTATTCGAGTTTGAATTACCTTCGGACGGTAATGCTTAAGCTATGCTTCTCAATCCAACTCGGGCTAGGGAGCACCTGGAATTGGAAAAACGACTAGTATTCTATGTCTAGCACACGCCTTGCTAGGAGATTCTTACAAAGAGGGAGTGCTAGAACTCAATGCATCTGACGAACGGTAAGCCTTGAAGAAAGATCTAATCATTCTTTGCTCATACGGTAGAATCACGACAAGCTTACTTATATGTGTCGTTTGACGTTCAAAGTGGGATTGACGTGGTTCGGAACAAAATCAAGACTTTTGCAAATACAAAAGTAACCTTACCTCCCGGTAGACACAAAATCATCATTCTAGACGAAGCAGATTCAATGACCTCAGGAGCTCAACAAGCACTTCGAAGAACTATGGAAATCTATGCCAATTCAACTCGGTTCGCTTTAGCTTGTAATTTTAGTAGTAAAATCATAGAACCTATTCAAAGTCGATGTGCTATTTTACGATATGGAAAGTTGAGCGATCAGGAAATACTTAAGAGATTGGTCGAAATTTGCGACGCCGAAAATGTAAGACTTACTCTGCTTTGATCAACGCGTAAGAAATCATGGAGTGATCTTACCTACTGACATGCATTGAAAATCAGGTCAAATACGCCAACGAAGGCTTAGCCGCGATCATCTTTACTGCGGAAGGGGATATGAGACAAGCTATTAACAACCTACAATCAACGGTATCCGGTTTCGAATTTGTTAGCTCCGAAGCAGTCTTCAAAGTCTGCGATCAACCTCATCCAATCGTCATCAAACAATTGTTAGCGGCATGTGAAAAGGGTGAGGTTCAAACCGCACTAGAAAGTTTAGATGAACTGTGGACACAAGGTTACAGTGCGATTGATATTGTGACCACGCTATCAAAGGTGGTGAAAAGTATGGATAAGATGGCGGAATATATAAAATTGGAGTTCATCAAGGTGAGTAAACCTTTTGGTTCTTCGTTAATTTCAAAGCTGATGGTTGCCCTTGAATCTAGGAGATCGGCTATACTCACATGCGGATCTTGGAAGGCGTCAGTACAATTGTGCAGGTTTGTTCATCGTTCTGTGGGATCTCGTTTACCTATCAACTGACTGATTTGCTTTCTGCTCATATTTTTTAGTTGGGAGGCCTAATCTCTCGTTTATGCAAACTGAAGCTTGATCCTAAATTGTTTAATGTTGACTGAAGACTCAAATATATTTCATACACCATGTCATTCACTCTTACTAATATCTATTGTAGAATTTTTGGATAAACGCACTAAAAAGCTCATCTAAACACATGAATTGACTCCCATACCCAGGTCCTAAACTTACATCGCCTTGTTCCATTCAGCAGCTTACATTGTGATGTCCGGCCGGTATGATGTCATGAGAATGAATGACTTTAACCATGTTGAAGGTGCTCATCATAAACAATGTCCAACCGTTTCAGATACATAGTTCCTTCTTGAAGTCTAATTATGATCTGATACAGTAAATCCCACCAGGGCAGTGGTGAATCCCCAACTGCGGGACCCCTCTTTCTGGGCATCTTGCCTATGATTCCCTGTGTGTATAACTTTTGTAATAGACTTTGCTTTCCCATTGGGGCTTTAATTTTCTCTTCCAATCTCATTCACAAAAGCGTATATGTAGTCCCAAAACAAGCCATTCCAAAACATATTTTTAAATCGGTTTCATCTCGATATGTTTCAAAGGATTTGGCCATCAGTAGTGATATTTGTTTGACACGCCATCCATCCTCGATCGATAAAACTTTTCCATTCACTTTCGCTGATAGCGTTGAGCTTGTAGACCTTGTAAGAATATCAGTACAATGAGCCTCGACTAAAAATTAAAATTACATTGTACATGATGATTAAACTTTTAATTGACCGTACGCTGGCACCTGATCCGTTGATGATAAGCTGCGAGCAGTCTTGATGAAGAGTATGAGATGCCCATTCTGGAGTTCAAAACGAGTCAAGATGAAAGTACTCTGAGGCTTGAAACCCTTGTTGCTTCCCGAAAGCCTTCGTCGGCCAATCCGGAATCCTCAAAATAGTTTTCTGCCTCCCGTACGCGCCGTAGGCCGGGTGTACTGATTGACACCTTCTCTCCCTCCGCAGCTCATTTTGATATACCCTTCTGACAACAACATGCGACTCTCATACTTCCTTATACCTGCACTCTTCGGAGTGAGATTCACCCATGGAAGTCCAAAGATGCCAGAAATTTGGAGATCTTCAAGATTCGAACGTTTACCTGATGGATTTGAAATCGTATCAAAACAAGTTCTTACAAATGAAGAAAACAATTCATTGTTCATCGATATTGATTTAGGTGAATCGACTATCAAAGAATTTAAATCAGTCAGAACCGGTAGAAGATTTCAAAGTGTGGTTCAAATGATGGAAAACTGGTAAGAGTTTTATTTCGAGATGTTTTGCCTTCCTTTTGATAGAACGGACGTAACGAGCAAAACCTGATGGTTCCTTCATGTATGTTAGTTTTCCAGGTTTTGTTGCTCGAATTCGAAGAGCCTCAAATCAACTTAAACGGATTAGATCGTTATGGAATCCACCCAATACATTGGTGGTCAGACTACACCACGTAGAATGATGATACACTTCGACTTCAATTTAAATTTATATTCAATCCCTCAAGAATAGACACAAGCAATCTTTAGCGCATGCAAGCAAAAATTTTCGTATCATATCAAGTTGATCATCTAGGACACCAAATATATCTTATAAATCCCGAGCAATTCTACCTCACAATTTTCGACACGCGTTCCCGACTCACCATAACAAAAGATGTGGATACATTCCAAAAAGGTCACATGTTTTTCTCTTCAAGGGTTCAGATTATGACACTTTTTTTCCAAGACTGAGGAATTTGTTACGTTAAAATTTCAAAGAGGAAGACTTCTCCAACATCAATATGTATATTTTTCAAAGTGATCTGTCACTTTTGGCATCAGGAAATATCACCTTTACGATAGCTTTCTCTAATTTTTGTACAACTATACTCTACAGTTTTGTTTAATCAGATCATTAATTATTTTGAGGCTCGTTACTATTATGACCTCCGTATGGGTAATGACAAACGGTGTTTAGTCTCAATAAGATTTTCAAGTCATATTCACATGGAAAGTAAAGACGATTGGGTACAAAAGTTTCTAAAGTGCGCGGATTATACCATTGTTAACCTCGCCCAAGCCCCGGACCTTTGGCGAGGGACTTGGTTAAGTTTGATGGTAATGTTCATTTGAGCCGGCAACACAAGCAGGAAAAGCCCTTGAGGCTCGGGAAAGCTCAATTGGAATATGCCAGATTCCACTTGAGTCACTGGAGTCAGCTGCAGTCTTAACGTAACAAAAACAGAATCAAGAATTTGTCCAAATGTTGTGAATTGGCCCCGGGTCGAAGATGGGACAGGTGAGTGAAATTTGTCACCTTTATTTTTGCAACCACTCATGGTCTTCCGCTGATTCACAGATGCCCACATGGAGGCCCACACATTCATGAGTGTTAAGATTCTTGCCCGCCCCCTTCACCCCACATTCCTTGGAAATTAGGGACTGGGCGAAGCTCTGCAAAATTGCAATTCAACCGTAGTTGAAAGCGAGTTGCAAACAGCTAAGCCACTGTTCAATCAATATGAAATTTCCTTATTTTTTTTAGTAAGCTTTATGGCACTAAAAAAAATAGGGTGGCGCACAGGCATGACCCTCCCTAAGACGAGCTGTCTATTCAAAATTTCCCCCCCCACCTCAGCCAAAAGCCTATGGCAGAACACTTCTGGATAGCCTGATATACCTTTCACAGGTTGCTCTCGCTCTGGTTTTGGTGAAATCATCTGACAGTCGGGTCTCTTGGGCTTGTAGGAGTAATCCTGACACCTCCTGTTTGCATAAATCGCTTCGGTCGACTTCCAGGGGATTCATGCGCTTATTGAGGTGGCTAAATCCTCTGTCGGTCGAAACCTCGCCCAGTCCCTATTATGGAAAAAAAGCGAAGAAATCAGTTCTGTCGTGTACATTTGGAACCCATCGGAAGGAAGAATTCGTGGCCCAAACTCCTCGCCAAAGAATTGGAGCCTGAGCGAGGGGCGGAAAAATTGGTGCGGAAGTGGAAAGTGCGGAATAGTGCATACAGATTGTACAGAGAGCTCTCGAAGAGCACCGTCCAATTCGGGAAGGTGGCTGCGCTCGATTTCGTTTGTTTTGTTTCATCCTCAGTACAATGTAGAACGAACGATGGTCGTTGAAAATAAAAAAACCATGTTGCCTATACCACATGAATCAAAGACGTAGGGAACCAGACCATCTCGATTCTTGAACCAGACCATCTCGATTCTTGAGAAACCAATCAATGTTTTTAAAAGACCTCATCTCCATTCTTGATGCGTATGACAACAACATCATGTCGACACTCACTGTGCAAGACTTTGTCAAGTTCTTATGTGTCGCCGCCGACGTGGTCGTGCGGTGTGAGCAGTCTCTTGAGCTCACTACAAACCGAAGGCCTATACGATACCTCGCCGCGAGTCTTCCCTCGTCCATCCATAACCGTTTGGAGGTCTTATGGGAGGCTTCTTTCTGCATATTGAAAGAGTGTTTCATCAATGCACAATACCATGTCAAATCTCATGGCATAATGCCCGAACTCGATGATGGTCGGCTACCCATCCGCATAGTGGAACAATCGCTATACCCCCCTTTTGAACACTGCCCAAAGTGCTCAAGGACGCGACCTATGCGAGCGAAGTCATTGTTCGGATACCTATACGACGTTGATGGATGCCATACGATTGAACACTTTTACCTCTACTGTCAACGTAAGCGCACCATCATCAATATGCGACTGGCAGACAGATGACAGATGTTTAATATACTTGATCCTCTGCCAGCTTGCAGGACGAGTTATCACGTCAGCTATTCAATTTACAATGAAGAACGAACGTTCTATACAACATCTGAAGGCAGGAACCCCGAAGTCTTCCAAGTTCATACGCATTACTTCATGACTCACCGCTTGGCACATCATTTCAAGATGAGCCAAATGCTACAACGGTAAGATTATTTTGTGTCTAAGCTCAAAAACACTTGATTCTCATTTCAGTTTAATTTTTCAGGTGTTTGGTGTTCAGCATTGTCAATTTGTACAACTCAACCTTCATGGGGTCCCACACCCCTCCGTTGTTCACTTCCCAGCAGGCCTTCTTTCCTCGAATGTCTGCCGAAGTTTGCAAAGACGGAATGGGCATTGATACATTGCTTTTCAATTACTCTTCAAGGAGTAAAGTGCTCGTGGTCCCAGATTCCGGACTAGACCGTGTCCGTTACAACGAGGCGAAGAAAGAATGTACCTCCTGGATAGCCGCGGAAGGGACTGCCCACAAGAATCATGCTTGCAGTCTTTGTACATGTATCACTTATTCCGAAGAGTACAACAAACACTCAGGTATGGTACAATGATCAGTAACTGCTCTAAACAAGAAGCTGATTCATATAATTTTATTTCGCGAGTTCAGTTGTTTGTGCTGTTGTGACCGATGGTTTGACCATCGGCCACTGGAGATGCAGTGCTTCTGCATCTCAGCTGGAAATGTTGGCCAAAGATTTCGGCCACCCAGCACCAGATGGCCCTTGTCGAAGGACTTTAGATACAGTTTGAAATCGCTACTGTAGTTTTCATGAGCCGCTTCTTGAAGGTTTTTGCCAGGCTCAGCCTTGCACCCAACCAGCGCTTGCAAATAAGAGGACATGTGGCCTTCAATCTCACCAAGAGGCTGCCAAAACTTTTTCCACTCGAGTTAATTCAAACTTCCAGCTTCACTCTATGTTAAATCGACCAGGTTCAAACCTCAACTTGGATCCCTCTGTCCATCTGGAAGACGAGTCTGGTGAAATTCAAGATTTGGAATCATTGCAGCAAGCCGATGAATCAGACCGAGTTGAAGAAAGCCAAAGATCCGGCGAAGAGGGCAGTACCAAAAAACCAACCCTTTCAAGAGCACGAACTCACAATGATCAACTTGTGGTGGCTCCTTGTGGTGTCATACTTGCCCGCCAAACGATGTTTAATTCGGAGTCACCAAGTGCCGTTAAAGTAGAGATTTTTTGCTTCAATTCAACTTTGAATCAGAGTAAGTCACTGATAAACATCTCATTCTCAGCTTTTCCTTCTAGATACCTTCCCAACCCGCATGCCTGAAGTCATTTTATACGATAATGCGTGCAAGTTATTAGCACATATATACAAGTCTGCTGCTGAAGAGCGTGATCAATTCACTGAAAGCATCGTGGCTGTTGATGCGTTCCATTTCAAATCTCACAAAGAAAATGACTGCTTTTGTAGGAAATGGACGGATCCCAATCTCTATCCTCAGTTGAAAAAGGACGGTGCTTGGATATTCAACTCATCAGCTGCTGAAATTGCTAATATATGGTACGGAGGTTTTGCCTCCATCTGTCGAAACATGACCGCGGTTGAATTCAACTTCTTCCTGGATGAAATGGTTCGGCTTCATAACATCTGGATATGTGAAAAATTATCGAAAAGGAAAAACATAGTACATATTGGTACTATCACTTTTTGATAACGTGAAAGTTATAGTGGCGGTTCATATGTTTTACTTTAATGTCAAAAATTTCAACTTGGTTGTTTATTTACATATTTGATCTCTTTCGATAACAATCTCTAGAGATCATAATCCCTTTCGATCACGATCTCTTTCAATAACAATCTCTAGAGACATAATCCCTTTCGATCACAATCTCTTTCGATAACTATCTCTTTTGTTATCGATCTCTTTTGTGTTATCGATGTCTTTCGAGAATTTGATCATCTTGATCATATGATGTTTCAATATTCTTTTCAATGAATATCATTTGGGTCTCTTGATGTGTTATCATCAAAGTCTAGGATAGTAACCAATGCCAGCTTTCATTTGCAAGTTTGTTAACATTTCTTGATCAATAGTTGTTCGATTTTTGAACCTCAAGTTAACACATACATGTAACCAGTGGGACACTAATTACAAAGATTGAAAGATCGATAGCGTAATCAAATGGAAGAAAAGTGAAATCATGAAGGACACAATTCAATTGTTCACAATCTGAACATCAGAGTCACCGTTGTAGAACTTATAACCCAACAAGGGTTATACAGAGCTGGAAGAGGATAATCTACTAATAAAATGACTAGTAGAAGTTGTCTAAGGACTGCTCTTCTAAAACAACACAATCAGAAAGAGCTCTGTTGTATTGAGTACTGATAAGGCACCAGAGAAATATAACTTCACACGTAATTTTAACTTCAAAAGCACACTTTGTATTACTATCAACACTGCTATAGTGTTATTCCCAATTGATAACTGAAAAAAAATAAGCAATATCTGATTGATATTATTCCCAATAAGTCTTTATGACTATAAAACTAAAGTAAATTTCTCTTTATAACTGTAATAAAGGGCGTATTTAAGTGAACAGGTACTATTAAAATAAGTTTATGATGATAAACAAAATAATAATGGCGTAAATGATAAAGAAAAAAAAAGGGGAACAACAGTCCCAAAACCCTCTCAAAGTATATATAACAATGTACTAGAACTTTTACAATGGTCAACAGCCTCAAAACCAATCAAATCCGCCCAAAATTCCCTAAAAACCCTATGATGACGCAATGTAATGGTTTTGTTACTAATAAATGATGTAATTTTCACAGCTAAAAGTGATCAATGACGCAATAATATGATGTACAGCACTTCTTATGATGAATACAGGTGATTTTTTCCTTGTAAACTAGCTGAAAACCAATTTTTGAGATTACGAATTTTTTCAGATGTGCTCCAATTTTTGATTACTAAAGTGCATCTTGTAGCCCACGTGTTACTGATCATTTCTGACACCTACATGACCTACTTCTGATGAGTGATGAGTAAGATATTGAGTTGTGAAGTTAAGGTTTTTAGTGTTACATATGACTTGTGACTGTAAATTCGAGATTCACACCAATTCTTTATTTGCCTTATAACTTTTTACACACACCTCCGTTACTAATGATTTAAAGCTTGTACATTATGTAATCCACTCTTCTGCGTTGAATGAGCCATCTACCAACCTATTCTGACGTCATTTGACATATGTAATTAGCTGAAAACCTCCATTTTCCACGAATTTCACCCATTTTCTTCACTTTTCACAGCTACTACTATCTTTTTCTTGCTCATGTAATATGACATCATCATCTATAGCCTTAAAAATCCCGGAAAATCCTCTTGGCAACCTTAAATTCCATCACTACCACTATTACACAACCAAACTACACGTGTACCTCTTGTTTACCAACTTCGAAAAAGTGCTTTTTTCCTAATAACTTCTGTTTCTACTTATCAACCTTGAAGATTAAAATTGTCATAGTATCATATAATGTTGTTCTTTCATATTCTAACCTCATAATACCCATAACTTTATTTTTACTAACCTAAAAACCATTTTCCAACCTTTATACCTATAATTTCGAATTTTTCTTATGTTTTTCTTTCTTTCTTTTTGTAATAAATTTGTAAGTAAACTATAATGATCTTAATATATAATGTGAAATAAAATGATGTAATGTTGACCTAATGACCAATACATAAGCCTACAAGAGCTTCAATTGATCAAAAACCTCCATTTCGAATTTTCTTTCCTGCTGAATCCTGCTAATAAACTGGTAAACTGGTAATTGTGAATTTTTTAATTGATCCCATAAATTGATCACCACACCGTCCGATTGAACATCAGAGCGCGTGTTGTCCTCAACTTCCACCTTTCTTCTTTTCGATTCCTGCTGTTGAACATGTTCACGATCTCGTTTTCGCTTTGGTTGAACTGTTTGATCATTGCGCTTGGTCTTTGTGGCCAACCACTCTTGCTGATACTTCTTCCGAGCTGCGATGAGGGTAAGGGAAGGGTTCGCGCGAGTGTCAAGGTCCAACTTCTCTGCTCCCACCAGGTTGATCCATTTCTTGACTCGATACACCGTGGTATGACCGTAATCATAGATATCTCCAAAGAACTTGACCCAGGCAACTCGTGGACTACCTTCACCGTCATATGATTGATGCCATCTTAGGGTTTGGCGGAGCAATACCCTAGAATCGGGCCAAGTACTCTTGGCCCAATGATTCTACATTTGAATGACAGATGTGATAAGCAAATATTTCACAATCGACGAGGTAAAGGCATATTACACATACCTTGACATGCAAATCCGAGGATCCTATGCATTCGATATCAGAGATCTCGGAGTCTTTGGACCGGTTCGTGTTTTCTTTTGAGTATATCGTTTGAGGTGAAGGGAGGGGCAAACTATCTGGGGTGGCTGGTTCCGTAGACGTCTCCACATCTAGTTGAAGATGATTACGGACTGCTGGTGCTGGTGCCGGTGCTCGTGCTGGTACTGGTACAGGTGACTTCAAACTTGAACTGGTGATTTTTGGCGGGTTTGGTGAGTTTGTAATGATGCACCGAGCCGGTGTTGTAAGTGGCTCATAGGGTCCCTCAGTGGTCATCTTTATGATTGCTTCGGAAAGGCCCACACAATTGCTATCGGAGATCGATTCCAGTCGGACCAGTATTTTGCGCGGGATTGGAGGATACTTCGAAGTGCAAGTAGGGGCTAGGGAAACCTAGGATTGGTAAGTCTGATGAATCAGTGTTGTTCATCACGATGATCAGAAAGAAAGTGGTTAAAGTAAGATGCACATACCCATCAGAATTGTTCCATGTTCCACACCTCAATCTCCGACTCCCAGTCTTCTGTGTTGCTCGTCGCTTTCCTACATTTATCGAGAATGATTTGACACTCTTGGAGTGAAAAAAGGGGCCAATTGGGTGCCTCTGCATTGATAAGTGTGCTAGAGCCAGGCTGTAAGTTGGACAAACCATCTGTGAATCAGTACGAGTGAATTCATATTGAGTAACCATCTAATCTCACCTTAGTCCAAAGCTCAATCCAAATCGTGCGTGCTGCCTCTCTTTTTGCAGCATCCCGACTCTTGGCTACAAGATCAACTGCTTTAAGATTTTCATGGTATTCGGATAGCTGTGATGGTGTTAGGGTGGAGGTCACTGCCCGATTGGCTTGGGCAGACTGGATTTGCCTCGGTTTTGGTTGCTGTGACCCACTTGGTACGGCTAGGGATTGGTAGGGACGTTGAGTCAAAACCGATGGTTGAGATAGGGGTTGAGAGGGACCTTGATTATAAACATTCGAATGAAATGGTACAAAGTTGTTGATCGAAGGGCTTGACCGATGTTGATCTCCAGAAGACAAAGCCGTGTAAAAGTGGGCCTTGAAGTTGCATGTCAAACCATGCACTCGTTGGACCATTTGGCAGCACTTCATCGGTGATTCAGTCATACTTGTCTTCATTTGTTTAATTGAGACAAAAGAGATCAAAAAGGCCTTACCAAAAGACACAACCGGAGGCTACACTTCATATTTGACTTGTTGGATGACTGATGCGTGGCCCCGGTTCTCCCTAAATACCCTGGGCACAGTTGACTCGTAGTTGTTTTCTTCAAGTGATTGGGTTCGTCATTGCTGACATTAAGTAGCCCTGAGAGGCTTCCAGGAGCTGGAGGTGGTTGAGCTCCCGCGTTGATAGCTCGAATTTCATTGATTAGGTGTTCGATTTTGAGAGTTCGAACATATCCTTTTCCGTGGGCGTGGTGAGAGTTGGGTTGATAACACTAGAGGTAAGAAGCTTTAGCCATAGAACAAACAACACTACTAAAAAAGAAAGATATAGATATTGGAACGTACCTTCCAGTTGATATTTGCTGGGTTTGGGAACCGAGGCGGGCAGTATCGTAGCTGACTAGTCGACGTGAGGGGGCATTCTGGACAGGTCAGTCCAGTGAGCTGGCCAGCGACAGGTGATGGAAGGGGATGGACGATTCGACGATGTCGATTCGTGATGTACAATTTGTGTGGAGTTGATATATGGATCTGGCCAGACATGTCGAGAACTTGCCAGTGAGGGAGATCAATACGATAAGAGACCAGCCGGATAGCGAGATCTTGTTTTTTTGAGAAGCATCATCTTGATTTTTTTGCTGGATGAGACTGTGATTGGGTTAATCCGCATTGGTAATAGCTTCAAATACCATTCTGCTTTCGGATGCTGAGACGAATGTGCTGACTGGAGGATAGACTGCACGTACCCTGTACTCACCCTGTATTTTCCGCCGTTTCCACTCCTTCCGCACTTTCCACCTTGCTTCGCCAAGGCTCCGATGCTCTCCTCCTCGCTGATTTGCTGGTTTTTTGCTGTTTTGGGGGCATATAATTTAGTCAGATCACTGGTTAGCAAGAGACGTTAAGGGTTACTCTGGACTCTGAACTCATACAAGAGCTTTCAGAGGGCTCGCCCCAAAACCGTCATCACGTGTTGAGTCGAGCACTTACAATTGTCGTGAGGCTCCGATAGGCTCCGATAGCAGTTCAGAGCAATCTGACCATCACACCTTTTCAAACCGCACTATAAGTGGATGCTAAAGGTCACGTACAAATTGAGCTATGGCGACTCAATTGAAAACTTTGGGCCAAGGCTCAGGATGAGCCCCGAGCCCCGGGGGATCTCGGATCCCCGCGGGAGGTCCCGGCGGGCTCAGGGTTCGAGCCAGGCAGTATTGGAAGGCCATACCCCGGGGGACAGTCGTTCCGGGGGGTCGTTCTGAGAGGGGAAAAAAGTCGATTCTCCTCGGGGAACCCGAGGAGAATGGTCATAGCGGTTGACTTTGAGGACTCACTAGAATAAGTAAAAACAAGATGTTTTGATTAAGAGAGATGCGATAAGAAATAGAAACAACAACAATCATAAGTGTACAGAGGCTGGCTAATCAACAACGATAGGGAGGATCCTTGAAGGGAGAGATTTGACAGTATGGTACAAGTGTCTGAAGACACAATACCAGTCTTTGAGACAAACAAGTACCTTGACTGTACAGCAGGCGAGGCGACTTCTTTGAGGGGATAAGACCTTTTTTGCCTTACTGAACACACTTTCAGAAGGGGCACTGGTGGCTGGGATTGCAAGGTAGCAGCGTGCCATGCGAGATAAGGTCGGAAAAGCCAAAGCTCTGAGTTTCCAGTGCTCAAGAGCTTCAGTATCGTAGTCCTCGGTCATCTCTCCGAGGTATCGGTGCAGCTCGCTGGTGAATGAACCTTGAGCAGCACGATCACCGTAAATCTCCTCGTCTAAACGAGATTGTTTCCTTGGTTGATTGGGGTTGTTGAATGAGTTTTCGCTGTCTGATCGAAATTTTCGGCTCTCACGTATGAGGGTATCCTTCAACATTAAGGGTGTGATGTTGTATTCAGCCAGGAATTCGGCTGTAGCCTCTTTCTGCAAATGAAAGATTGAAAGTTGAAACGAGTCAGCAAAGTATTGAATTTGAGAGAAAATTTTAAAAGGATTTGAGCTACTGACCTCGAAGTAGGTCATCTTGATGCGAGGATCAAGAATAGTGGCACAGATGGCTGCTGGCTTCTTGATTATTAAACTGAAGTATTTATGCAGCTTCTTTATCATATTGGCAGCAGCGGGAAGAAGCTTATCGTGGTCGTACATTTGTTCGACCTATTGAATCAAATCCCTGAACATGAATATCTCTAAATTATGATTGAGAAATGAAGCTTACACGCTTCAGACCCTTCATGACGCTGATGTACATTGGAATCATCTTCTGCATAGTTGGGAATCTGGACCGACACATTTGGTTTGTCGCTTCCCAAAGAGGCTCAAGGAAGTTACACATCTGCTCGAGCTGGTCCCATTCGATTTGGGAAAGATTGAACTTTTTGCAATCAGGCCGCTCACTAAATTTCACAACTGCGCTTCGGAGCCGTAATACACGCAGGAACATCAGGTACGTTGAATTCCAACGGGTCTTGACGTCAATGATCAAGGCAACCACTGTCTTTTTAGATTTTTCTGCCTGAGTCGGTGGTTCTTGGTCTTCAGGTTCGTTGACAATCTCTTGAAGTGACAAATCTTGCATTTCCGGGTCGGCCTCGGACTCAAAGACATGTTCTTTTTGTCCACCAAGTGATCGCATAGCTTTCACGATGTTTGCAAAGGCCTCAGCTTGTTGAGGGCTAGATCGGACATGCACGACTAATCCATGGATGCGACGAGTTATCGAGGAGAGATCTATTGTACAACCATCAGGAGGTTGTACAAGATTCGATATATCCATCGCATTCATGGACAACTCTTGCTCTTCGGTTTCATCAATAACCCCAAAGAGGGATAAACCATCACGTGCAGCAAGATCCAGCACGTGGGCTATACACCCAAACAGTTGAGTTTCCGGATCAAAGTTGATATCTGGATGTTCTGAAATCGAGCGAGCCATCGTGGAGTTGGTTGAAGCATTGTCAGCGGTGATGCTCGATAATGAATTCGTGATCCCATACTTTTGCAAGTACTCCACCAGGATCGAGCCGAACTTGGCTCCGGTATGTTGACCTGATTTCAAGCAGCTGCAGGTCAGAATCTTGACCAAAATCAAAACAATTCAACTCGACTGTACCTGTAATTTGTGGAAGACCAATAATGAAATCCTTCTTCACAAAGTCTTCTGTGATTGTATGTACTGTGATGGCCATGAAAGCCTTGTTGTTTGGTGAAGTCCAAGCATCGGTGGTGACAGAAACAAAATCGCTCTTTTTCAACTCCACCTCTGTAACATATTCTTGAGTTTGTTCAAAAATCTTGTGCGCTTGAGCGGCAATTGCATGACGCTTCACTTGCATTCCTTCGGTGCTTGGATTACACAACTTCAAGAGATTCAGGAAAGACAGACGCTCCACAATTGAGAAGGGAAGGTCCGCATCAGCCACTAGATACACCACATGAGTCTTCAAACTCTCGATGTTGAGTTTATCCTGGAGATTATAGAAACAAAATTCATATGTATCTGATCATTTGCTCTTAGAAGTGGTGATACAGTTCAAAACACACATTAACTTCAAGTGTCCCCGTTTTCATTAGTACGTCGATGTTGGCGTGTTTTCCCTTCTTAGCTGGATCAATTATACCGTGTTGGGTTTTAAGGTGAACAATCATCGACTTCGTACTTGAAGACTTGTCCTTTGCGAGTGCTGAGTTGCATATCTCCCCGTTCTTTTTGACAACAGTACATCTATTGGTGCCGTCTTCAGACTTCTCAAAGTGATCCCAGACAAAACTGGTGTTTGACATATCCAATAAGAATGTTTTGTTAAACAATGCGAGAATGCTGATGTTGAGATTCAGTACAGTGAAAAAATGGATGATGGGGTCGTTGGTTGGAAAACGTAGTGGATTGTTTGATTCAAAATCTCTTGATCAACTTGAGTGTCAATTCTCAAGTGGTTTAATCTTACTTTGTGTCACATGAGCTCAAAGTGGGTCTAGTCCCTTGCTTTGAGGTTTTGAGCACCTGAGCTCGGCTCTTCCTGGTCATATCTTGTCTCAAAGTGGAAAAAGCGTTGCTCGACCTCTTTCAAATCTGTTTTTTTTTCTCAAGCCGCGTTTGTCTGACGGATTGCCGGGTTTACCCGGGAATGCCCCGTCACCCGATGTACCCGTCGAGGTTTTCGGTCCGGGAGCCGTTCTGGGTCCATGGCTGGAAAAATTCGTCGGGTTTGCCGGGTGCGGGTGCCGTTCTGACGCTTGAAAAAAGATCTAGCTCACGGCTGCCTCGAAGCCCGGCATTCGGGGGACGGGGCTCATCCTGAGCCAAGGCTCAAGAGAAACCCAACCTGGTAACTTTATCGTATGTACACTATGACTTGGACCATCTGGATTGAAGCTCGAGAAAGATAACATCACCTCAGATTGAGTTCCCCAGGACCATTTTCTAGCACTACAGCGTGTAGCATCTGAGTGTGATTGCCATCGCAGGGATTTACCGATTGGCTGAAAGAACTGCTGCAATCTGCTGCAATCACCTATGATTTCATAGCGCCCTCACGACGTTGAGCAATATGTACGGTGCCGGGGTGGATTGCTGTGTCATGACTCATGAGTAGAATTTAGAACACTACGGGTTGAGTAAGTTAAGCTTTCCGCAATCCTTGGCATCCTAAGCAGGGCATAGATTGGAGTTCAAAAGCTGCTTATCCATATAACTTTGAAGAATATACTTTTGTGTACTTCGAAGGTCGGATGGTTATTCTCTTCATCTCTACTGCGTCGTCACTGAGGCACCTGTGATGATCTTGCCCTTGAGACAACATTAACGTGCAAGATTTTCTCATATCATATCGAAAGGATGCAGTGAAGGATTGACCAAGTGAAATGGTAGCCATGGATGGATATGTATGGAGATGGAAAAGGCTATATACAACCGGCAACCCAGAGATTGATGAGAAGGTATGACCCGATCTAAAAGCGATAGGCGAAAAGTAGAGAGCTTCTCCGATAGCCTGTAGAACTGGTGATGTAACGGGTGGATCGAGCGAGACAACCCATAATAGTGAGGGAAGTTGGGACAGTGTAAGAGCTCACTGCTCAAGCGAAGACGAAGCGTGGATGCCATATTGTGAGAGCATAGGAGCGCATTGGTTGATTCAGATTGATGTTGCTGCCGGTGTGCCTGGTGCAGTGAAGATGCATCCATCGATTCTCGACAAGGTCAATCATTAACAATCAACTTTGTTTATCAAATTCTATTCAAATTTCCAGATGCAATTTCGAAGCTTCTTTGTCAAAATAAACGGGGGGTATGCGATACAGCTATAAAAATCAAATGTAGCAAAGTCCCACGCTCGCCTCTTACCTCGCGAGGTGACGTGGGAGTTGGTAAATTTATATAAAGGCATTCAAGCTCAAAGAAACTTTTTCCCAGATCCCACTCTTAACAAACTCTTGAAGATTTTGTACTACTTTCTCAACTTCTTTATCTTTCTCTTCTCTTGAGCTCACAAGTGTATTGCATACTCCCTGATCATCATCCAAGCGATAGCCTAAAACAACCACCCATACCACAAAGGCAGTGAAACCAAGTTGGTAATCTTCCTTCTCATACATAAGCATGCAAATTGTTGATAATCCTTCGGTTCCATCAGATAAAGTTACTATAGCACCCTCTTTTACGTGTCACAAAATAAGATATATACTTCTCCTTTTTCCGATTGACAAGCCACCGCCACTCATTTTTTCCACACATTCATTCCAGTGAATTCTAACTCCTAGACTCGCCTCCTGCGCAGTCAACAGCTCTCGACATCTCCTTTTCTTTTAATTTTCAAACTGTCTTCATTTGATCCATTCTCTCCTCCCCTCTCCTGGAGCAGTGACAAGGAATCACCAAAGAATAACTCGTCATACTTCAGAATGTCAAACCGATATAGTAATCTAGAACCCAACGGTAGACCGACGAAGGCCGCCAAACCCAACAAGAAATGGACTTGGATCAGCATAGCCATTGTCTTAGCACTCTGTGCGATTGTCATCCCTGTCGTTGTCGTCCTTTTCAATCGGGATCATTCTAATACCCGAGCATCCTCCCGATCTTCATCTTCAACCAACAAGAACTTGTCTAATTCTACTAGTACTAGTACATTGAAGTTGGCACCTAAGAAGAAATGGAACTTTTCTAATGACAAGTTGATCGGACTTAATTTAGGAAATTGGTTGATCCTTGAGGTGTGTTTTTCGTTTTTCGTTTTTACCTTTTTTGGGTTTGAGAATATCCTGTTTCACACCTCTCTTTCGGCATGAGTATGTTCGAAAGCTAATCGATTGTTTTTGCTTCTAATTTGAAATACTTTTAGAGATGGATGAATGAAGACTGGTTTACTGATAATGCTGGTCCTCATAGTTGGGATGAATGGGACTTCACTACTGCTCTCGGTCCCAAAGCTGTTGACGTTCTCGAAGTGAGCTCCGAATGTCCAATCTCTTTGTTGCAGATTCCTCCGTCCCTTCGGAGTTGAACACAACGATCGAGAAACGCACATCATTTGAAAAGTAACTGATCTTCTTCATCGCTTTCTTTTCAACTAAAGGAACATTGGTCGACTTGGGTCACAGAAGCGGATGTCGAACGTGCTTATCAAGCAGGTATCAATACTTTCAGGGTTCCCGTTCCGTTCTGGGTAAGTGTGTCTTGTCCCTTCTAGAAGCCACAGGACGTTGAAGTTTCTTATGGGGTCCTGGTTTTGGATTAGATGTGGATTCCTACTACTGGCTCTGAACCTTACTTAGCCGGACGACAAATGGCTCATTTTGAAAGACTTTGTTCATACGCTTATGCTCGTGATATGTACATCATCATCGATCTTCATGGATTACCCGGCTCTCAAAATGGCGAACAACAATCTGGAAGGAGTTGAGTTGGATTTTTTCTCTCCTTCCCGTATTATCTTGTGCTGATGTAAATCGTTCTGGTATTTAGACACTACTAGTCCTACATTCTGGCAACCTTTGCAACAGGCTAGATCAGATCAAACAGTCAAAGCTGTTGTAGATTGGCTAGCACAATCGCCTTACGCTAGTATCATCAGTGCTATTGAAGCTGTGAATGAACCTAGACCTTATACTCCTTCACAACTCGCCATGCTTCGATCATACTATGAGCGAACTTACAAAACTATCCAAACTCTTGGTGCAAATGCACCTGCCATGATGTTTGCAGATGTACGTTTTCCATATTCACATTTAAAATCAGAATTGGAGTCTTCTCTAACAAAAAGAACCCCTTTGTCTTGTTGTAGGGATTCGTCAAAGGAGATAAATTCTCATATTGGTACGATTTTGCTAAATCACATCAAACCGATCCACCTAGTTTGATCTTCACAGATCATCCTTATCCTGGTTATTTCCCAGCTCAAAATAATACCAGAGACATCTTTAATCAAACTTGTACAGATGCTGCAAAATATATCAATTTCCCTGTACCTACTGCTATTACTGAATGGAGTTTAAGAACCGGTATTCAAAATTCTACATTCGAAAAAGAGTATTATTCTTATCAACTTACGTAAGTGATCTTGATCACCAGTCTTGTTCGAAATCTTGGACTGATAGATTCTTCCTTTTTTGTAGTGCTTGGACTTGGTTCGCTGGATCCTGTTTCTGGTCTATTCGGGCATTAGATTCAAAGATCTCAGTCTTAGCCGATCCAGTAGCTCAATACCAATGGTCATTTGAATCACTCTTAGCCAGAGGATCGATTCCAACTCCCAACATCAATGGAACAACCAAAGATACCAAAGCGATCACCACCCAATTCATCACCGATCTCGGTACCCCTTGTGGACCTGCTCCCGCGTTAAATTCAGGAGCCGGGATCCCACAAACTGCTGCAGCTGCAGCTGCTGTAACTGCTGCTCAAGAAGCTGAAGCTTTGATACCCAAATTAGAAGCTGATGAATTAGCCGCTGCTAAGAGTTTTGGATTAGTTGGTATCGGATCTGATGCTGTGATGGTCTCTGCTAAATCAAAATGAATTATATAATGTAATTTTTTTCATCTTCATCTTCAATTGAATCTCGGGAAGTTTTTTTTTTGGTTTTGGTTTTGGTAATCATGAGGGATTTGATTGGACATTCGTATTGAGTTGAGCTATTGGTATTCGTAGTGATGTCTTTCTTTATCTTATCGTTCACTTTGACCTCTTTCTCTCTGTTAACTTTGAGTACTGAAATGTTGAGTACTAATAGGTTGCAAAAATAATAAGACAAAAAAATCCAACTCTCATGACGTGTCCTATATGCATTCAAGCATGTGTTCAATGTGATCTTTCTGAGTCAGGATGTCCATCTTGCATTCTTCAGTGGGATATGGCCTTGACCAAATTCTTGTGAGCATCATATAAAGTGTACAACGGAAAAGTGATGCGTTTTTGGCACATAACCATCGAAACACTGCAACGTCTTTTCTACCGTATGTCCTGAAGGTCCAAAAAGTATGTCTGGAGCCCCCAAGAGATCATTCACAAAGAACGTTGACTTCGGACCCGACAGGTTTTGCCGAAGAGTCATCAGGAGGACTCGAAAGGATCTTTCATAAGTGAGCAACGCAAACGAAAGGCTTGCAAGAACCTCTCAACAAAATGAAGCCAGAAGCCCTACGAAGCATAGAGAAACACCCCATGAACGTTTGTGTTGAACTTGGAGTTGCAGACAAAATTTGGGAGAGAGAATGCCACTTCAGCTGCAGATTGAACGAGTTTGGCCCCGTCGACGAGCTGTTTCGGATATTCAGAGGTCACCCCGGGAGCCCGAGACTGTATTCAGTAAGCCGATCACCCACTTTTTTTGGTCGATGGGCATTTTTTTCATCAACCAACCTCCAGATTCATCAAAAGGACATTTCAACTTAAACCTCAATTCAAAACTCAGCTCATCAACTCAAATCAAAATAAGATGGCCGTCCGTTGTCGATTCGAAGCCTCATCAGATATTGGCGTGTTTTCTACTTTGACAAACTCTTACTGCCTTGCATCACTTTCAACCGGTTCTACCAATTTCTTTTCCACATTCGAATCTGAATTGAGTGAAGTGATTCCAGTTATTCACACTACTATCGCTGGAACTCGTATCATTGGTCGTTTGACGTGTGGTAAGCATCTGTTGATCTTGGCTTTCAAATCAACGCGAAGAACAAAATAATTGACAACTTACACATCAATGTCTTACGTTTACATATATGTCTAGGTAACCGACATGGTTTATTAGTTCCTGCAACTACAACAGATCAGGAACTTCAACATCTTCGAAACTCTCTTCCTGATTCAGTGGCAATGCAGCGGGTAGAAGAACGACTTTCAGCGCTTGGAAATGTAATTGCTTGTAACGATTATGTTGCATTAGTACAGTACGTTCTGTCTATTTGAACCATTTTCATCGAATGAAACTGATTCTTGGTGTCTTATTCTTCAAGTCCAGATATTGACCGTGAAACAGAAGAGATTATTGCAGATGTACTCAAAGTTGAAGTTTTTAGACAAACGGTAGCTAATAACGTTTTAGTTGGATCTTATTGTGCACTTTCTAATCAAGGAGCATTAGTACACCCAAAAACAACTATTCAAGCACAAGACGAACTGAGTAGTTTGCTACAAGTTCCTCTGGTTGTCAGTTTTCTTCCTCCTTTTGCTAAAATCTGTATTCCAAACGTCAATTACTTAATTCTATTCTTACTTGATTCTATTCTACAGGCTGGAACAGTCAATCGGGGTTCCGACGTTATTGGAGCTGGAATGGTAGTTAACGATTGGTGTGCATTTACAGGGCAAGTATTTATATCCCTCCTCTTAAAAGATACGCCAAACTTACTTTCGTTTCTTCGAGAATACAGACTAGACACAACGGCTACCGAAGTATCTGTGATTGAAGCTGCCTTTAAACTGCAAGGACAAGATACATCAGCCATTGAAGGCATGAGAGCCACTTTGATCGATCAGTTTGCATAGTTGTTCTATCACTTCCTTTGCCCACCAATGCATTTTATCATGTCCCTATGCTACTCCGACTTTGTGTTGTTTCTCTTAAAGCTTGATTCACATTACTTTGCGGCTAAGTGTGAAGAATTTAATACCTCTTAAAAATTGATGAACCACTGATCACATGTCTTTTGGTCCTCGTGTAAATACACTGAATATATTTAAACGGAGCCCAGTGTGTGGGCAAAAACTACGTAGCAGGAATTTTTCATCACATAGGGAATACTTGCGATCTTGTTCCAAAAACAGCATATGGTCATTGGTGACACCTCACCAAAATATAATGAACCTGAATGTCCAAATTATGCTCTTGCCACAGCCAAGAAATGCTTGGCATGGCTTAGATTGTCTTGAATGTGTGTGTGGCAACAGACTAGTAACAGCTTAAATCAACTGTACTTTGTTTTTTTGGAGTAATGTAAAATCTATTTGAAGACACAGTTTTATTTCATACATATGCTCAGGTTTTGAGCTGCTTGCTTATGGCCATGGCTGCCTTCATCCCTCAATTTCACAGTGTCACCTGTGTTTTGAGGTTTCAGATACAACGGATGCAATCAGTTATAGTCTTGTCAAAACCAGAGAGTCAGACTGCCTATATATCAAAAGCTCATTGTAATGTGATAAGAATCACAGCTGAAAATTTCACAAATGATTGGTTCTTATCTGAAAACTATCTTGTTGAACATTCTCCCAATTACAAGTATTTTTTTCAACCCTGCTTGTTAGTCCTTTGTTCCTACTTGAAGTTGGAGACAGTAACAAGATAAGTCAAAGCTTGGATATCATATCTCATGATAGTCATACACCTATAGAAGACAATGTCAATATGATCCACAGGCAGAGAAAGTGGTCACAAAAGCTATCAATGAGATTTACCAACCAATGTCTCATACTTTCAAGGCATTACCTACAGTGAACAAATTGTACCTCGAGATTTGTTATGGGAATGATCTTAAGCCTCAGCATGTAAAATATTGGTCAAAAGTCAGCCTGAGCCCCGACGGGGAATTGTCGGGGACTAGCTTGCCCGGACCTCGACCTGGCGGGTGGAAGGCCTCCCCAATCCTGTTCTCGGGTCCCTGATCGGGGTTTTTTGCCAAAAACTGGCTGCCCGAACCCCGAGCGGGTTCCCCGGCGGGTCCCCGAGCCCCCGCCAAAAACTGTCTCTCACCCATGGGTCAAACACCGTCCCGGTCTATTTATCTATAGATCTGCAAAAAGGACCGTGCAACGTGTCTAATCCGGCTGAATTGGGGTGTTTGGGCATCTGGGGCAGGAGCCGAGGTGCCTTGAGGGTGCAGCTCAGCCCTCATTACAGCCTGCTACTGCCTACTAGGTGGGTTTTTTATTGTCGAATAGGTGGTTACACACCAGATTTTCCCCGTCGGCAAACTGGTTTTTCCAAATTGTCAGCCCGACTCCCGACTCGCGGGAATCCCCGACCACCGGGGGCTTCAAAAGCTTTGCCCAAACCCCTTACCGATTGGGGGCCACGTCGGGGTCCCTGATTGGGATCAGCTTCGGGGCTCAGGCTGAGTCAAAAGATCCTTATAAGATACCTCAAAACATACAGTCAGCCAAATCTCTGGTGGATTGAGGGTGTCTGACACTTGATCATGGTAAACCATAAGGAAGCTCTTTTAGACATGGGTGGAGTCTTTGGACCCAAATTCAGTAGATCCTTAAAAGATTCAACCAACACATGCACAGTGACAATCTGTACTATTATGACTTTATTTTTGGGAATGGGTCATCACAGATTTGTGAAAAAATGAAGGCTTGAGAAGGGATCACATTTTGTCATCACATGAAGCTGAATGAATGTTGAAGGTTGAGAAATCTTGGAACCTGCAGAAAAAAGGTGAGACAAAAACATCTTGAGTGAATTATGAGGAGATGAGTCAACAAGAGATTTGAAATTGTACAGGGTCAACTTGACAAAAACATCAGATTTCAGGAGCAATTTGAGGGTAGATTGCTCAGTTTCCTTGAGATTTATTTCTATAGGTCTGTGTGTTGATAGAGGCAAACAAAAAGTATCTTGGATCAACAAATATTCATAAATGGGGGGAAAAGATTTATGAGGAAGGAAATTTTCTCCTGCAAAAGCTCATTCCCCTCACAGGCAAAAGTGTTTCTTGTTGTCATAATTCCCTTTCTGCACTGACAGTGTTCAAGGAGCATCATGGGGCTTGGATAGGTTTAGAAAAATATGGAAGGGGTCAGCCCTGAGCCCAGATTACAGGATCACAGGCTAACAGTACCACATGTAATATTACATTATTGTATAAAGCTATAAGTACATCTCAAGCACTGCCAACATCTTATCATCAGATTGTTAAATTTGATTTAACAGCTGGCAGCAATATCCAAGGACTCATCAGATAGATGGGTACCAAGGAGATCATCTGAGGTAGAAGGAACCACTCAACATCTGAGGATTCCTCAGACAATCAAGTATTGAGGAAAACAATATTAAAAGTTTAACTTGGCCAGATACAAGCAATCAAATATATCCTTGGAAAATTCCTGTCCAAATTAATATCATACATTAACATTGGACAGCCTTATCTGAGGTGACCTCGGTGTGCCTTATCCAAGGTAATATAAAAGCACACCATCCGGTTTGATGAAAATTCATCATCAATCTTTTCAGGCCAATTTAATTTAACTCTGTCAATTTCTCTTCAGGTTGGCTGAAGCTCATTGTTGTCACAGAAAGGGAAATTTCAGAATCCTTTGACCAAGGTCTCCACAAATGATGAAAATCAGTGGACAAATAAAAATTAAAGGAAAGGAAGCTTTTTATTAACAATCAATACCCTAGGAATGATGTGATGTCATCATCAGGACAAAATTGAAAAACACAAGGACTCAACAAAAACCCAGAAACACAGGGAATCACTACGTAGGATTTCAACTTGCATACAAAATCAAGTTCAAATCCGTACTTGATTCCAAAATCAAAATGAAATACTAGGTCATGAATTTGAATTCAAACTTGAATGCAAATTCAAATTCAAATTCAGATGCAAGACTGGATTTCAACACAGAACCTGTTTGAATGAAAAATCTATCCACATTCAAAGAAGCCAAACTTGACTTCAAGATCAAATCCGAATGAAAACTATCCAATAATCCCACTTGAAAATTGTTGAATTGAACTTCATCTTCACACCTGAAACTTTGACAGCAACATATGCCAGTACAAATTTGGATACACAATATGGAGTCATACAAATTTGATTTTGAATTTCAAATCTTTGCCCAAATTAACTTTGTGAAGGACTTATCCTCATGGTCACTCATTAAAGAGGATATCTTCAATTGATACATTAGATGCTTTGGTCATTTTGACTTCTTTTTCATTTGTGGTTTTGTATTCATCAAAACATTCTTTTACCAGGAACAATATATCCATGTGGTGGAGTAATGGAGGCGGACAAGAAGTATTGATGGAATTGTATCATCAATCCACCTTGTACAAGCTTAATTCAGGGAAACCTCACAAATATCTTCAGCACATATATATAACAAGAATAGAGATGGAATACATCAACATAATCAAGGTAAGAAATCCACAAGGACTTACAAGAAATATCAAATTTGACTTTAATTGTTTTGTATCACAGCTATCAGAGGCAAAAAAAACTGTGTAATGAAATGCAAAACAAAACAATTGGTTTGGTTCACCTGAAGAGTTAAGACCAAAGTCAAAGTCAAAGTCAAGCTTGTTGGAGTCAAAGTTGAACTCGTATAAGTCAACATTGGAGTTGAGGCCAAATTCGAATTTGAAGTCAAAGTTGCAGTTGCAGTTGCAGTTGCCACCACAGTCAAACTTGTTGACCTTGAAGTCAAACCTGTCAAAGTCAAACTTGTTGAACAGCGTAACCGCGCTGGGTGATTGCTTGTTGAATCCGGGAGATTGGATCAGTAAGCATGGTACCGGCAGCGAGTTGAACTTGAGCTCTAATTTCAATTCTAGTGATTGTCTTTTGGGGGTATACTCAATGTGAAACTGAATGTGAAGCTGGATGTGAAGTTGAATGTAAATGCAAAACATATTAAAATGGAGCGCACTATTTGGTGCCCGGTTTTGAAAATACCCAATTCCCCCTTTCTTTGGTACTTTCCCGCACATTCAATCCAAATTTGGCCGCGGCCACAGCAATTATGAGAAACCAGGCATTAGCCTGAAAACAGTTTGCCACATCTCACCTCTCTTGCTTAGCATTTCTCCTAACTTGAAGACAACATACCAATATCAAATCAGACCACCATCTGTCATAATAATGAATCTTTTAAGAAAATCACTTCTACAGATCTTGAACAACCGGTGCTGCAACCTTCTCATCTCCAATTCTGAGGATGAAAAAATATTGAAACAAACATTTATCTTCTTTGAACTTCTATTTTGACTGATTACAGTTGAAGTTGTATCTTATGACCTTCTTATCATTATTGTATTCAGCCTCATCATATTTCAATCAATCCTGAGTCAAATGATTGTTGTGAATGTATCTTATTTTTTTATTCTGGTTGATCTTGATTAGAATGATTGTTTGAACTTGTATCTTTTTGCCCTTGGTCGTTTCTGGGTACAACAATTGTTCATTTTATTTGAACTTTATGCCTGTTAATCATCTCACTCCAGGATTCCATTGCAATTGGGGGTTTTGAAATAGGACCTACAAATTAAGACAATGTATTTCAAAAACTATCAACAATGAGCTAGAACTATGGGCAATTATGCTTGTCATTATTGAACCGTGGTCTAACTCGACTTGTGTGTGCGATTAAAAACCAGTTTGAAACAGGGCTACAGAAAAATGCAAAATTCAAAAACCAGGTGTTGTGTTTTCAAAACCAGGCACCAAATAGTGTGATCCATTCAAGAGTTTCTGCCAATGCAAAAATTAGATGAATTTATTTATGCACAATTCTGTCAGCAAAAACAACAGCCAAGCCTGATTTGAGTGGGCTGGCTATTAATACTAAACAAGGTGGAATGAGCACTGAGAGGAATCACTCATCCTGCCATTGAGTGATCAGGCTTACGTTGTTGTTATGTCAGATAGCTCACCTTGTCACTGTGTGAGTCATTCCACCTTGTTATGATAAGGATCATATTGGGTGGAGCTCACACTGGCTGGCATGTGTAGCTCACATTGGGTATGGCAATGTAGACAGTGTGTGTTTTATTAATTCATGTAAGTGTCACATGCCACCTGCCACGTGGTGTAGTCCTACCAGGAATGAATTTACAACCGGTTGGAATTGGACTATTTTTTTAAATTATACCTAAGAAATCAGATCCTGGTGTGACTGGAAATGGTGGTTGATCTTGATATTTTTCTTGAACTTGTAAAATATCAAAAAAGTTCATTCCAGTGCAACTAATGGATCAAAATCACATCAGATTAAGATTTCTTTGACTTAGGGCCCATTTTGTTGCCAGAGATTATCATATACTACAGTAAAAGTAGGACCCCGGAAAGCTCCCCCTGAACCAACCAACGTAAAACCCGGATTTTGAGAATTTTCATGTCTAAAAATACCGGACTTTTGGAGCTTTCATACTAAATTGGTCGGTAAAATTTCAGCACAAAAATGAGCCCCCAGCTACAAAGCTATGGTTTGGTGGCTTTATGTAGTGCCAAAAATGTTGGTGTGAAGATGAGATTTTGAAAATCATACCGGGCACATTTGTAAGATGAATTACTAACAAGCCATTTTCATACCAGTTTGGTTGGTAACATGACCAAATCTCGACCACTCAAATCATACCAACCACGTTGGTAGGTTTAAGGGGAGCTTTCCGGGGTCCTGTAAGAGTGTAATTCATTAATTTACCTGAAAATACAGTAAAATTTGGAACTGACAATTAATTGCAAGTTGAGAGGTAATGGGTGGTTTTCAGAAATAATTGTTTGGTAACTCAGAACCACCAATCCTACAATTTCACTTTTGCATACAATCATGCTTCCAAACCAACAATGTTGGTGAATTTTATCAGAACCCAGTGCTATAGAGAATCAAGATCATGCAATGCACTCTCCTTAGGAGATACTTACTTGTTTGTTGGTCAAGAGCTTGTGTGGTATGTACCTCTGACATTTTACATGCAATCAATTGTCCCTTGGTCACTTTGTCTCGCACAAGTTGATCTTGTTATAGTATCATCACACATTTTGTATTGTTGAAATAATGTTCATCATCATTTTGTCTTCATCTTCCTACAATGCTGGCTTATCTCATGTGATACATCACCAGCTTCATGTGGTTTCAAATCACAAAAGTCATCTCAAATCTCTTTGATTGCTCTGTTAAGATTTTTCACGGATCAGCTGTGCCTAATAATTCATAACCCTCATGGACCTGCTCAATGAGGCATGGAAATCAAGGAAGGGATTGAAGTGGTGATGAGTTGAATCAAGAGAAGCATTGGAGAGAAGATGAGAATTGAGATGAGTTGGAACGAAGATGAGATGACTTTGTCCAAAGAACTGATGATGTCAATTGGAGATGCAATGAGATCAAAGAGAAGTTGATCAAAGACGTGATGAAGTTGAAGAAGTGATGCAGTGATAGAAGGTGATATGTACTGGAGTGGGTCAAAGAGGTGTTGATTGAGGTGATGAGAGGTGATGAATAGATACATGTGTTCTGTAGATGGTGGTGAGCTGTGGTCAGGCAAAGAGGTGAATTTTTGACAAGTGCCCTTATCACATACAGAATTGATCCAATTACAATTGAAATAAACAGAAAAAGGGGTTGATGAAGATAATTCAGATTATGAGATCATTGACCAAATAATGTGGTACAATAATCTGTATATTTGGGCTACCAAACAGCAAAGAATTTGTTGTGATTAGTGGTATTCAAAACTCCAGAAACATGTCCCAGAAGTGTCAAGAAGTGACATCCAGAAACTTCTGGGATACCTCCAAAATGTTTTTGGATGTCACTTCTGGCCCATTTTTGATAGATTTGAGAGCCCCATCATTCCCCATCCCGGTCACTTCACTTGCATCTTGCCACAGACAACTCTTAGCCCGGCAGGTATCATGCTTTTTTCTTGCTCTTTGCTCGACAAATGACAGCCTTTAACTGCCATCACCAATGCTTCAAAGAGTCAACTCAGTCTTCACACAAATCTCCTGGAGGAGCTATCTAATCCATTCCAACTGCTTGTGTCAGTCTTTATCTTTATCTTTATCTTTCTCATTGATGGTTACTTTCTTTCTAAACTGTAAGAATTGATTTTATCAATTCATCTCACCTTTAATGTTTTGATCAATCACCTCAAGGAGAACAGTTGTCTCAAACCAAAGTTGAAGTTGAAGAATCAACCAAAATTGAATGTTTGATTGGAATTGACCAACTGATTAAAATCTAACGATCAATTGACATTTAACAATCAATCAAATTTCAACACTCAACTACTCCTCTGTCCCTATCTCATCATTCAAAACAGTTTGTTTTTGTATCTTTACCTATTTGCATTGTATCAACAATGGCAATTAAGTGCAAACAAATATCTTGTTGAAATGATCATGAGATACAATTGATCATTCACAGATTGAGTTGAGGGTAGCTTAATGAGAATGCAAATGTATCATTGAGAATGACCATATCATGTTGATGACCCAAAATGGATGAGTGTAATGGTGTGGTGTTGATTGAGTTGATGCAAAGTGGAGGGAGATGTGTGAAGATGCTTCTGGAGCCCAGAAACCCCCAAAACCCAAAAATGTTCGGTAAGTGTCCCAGAAGTTTCTGGATCTCACTTCTTGACACTTCTGGGACACATTTCTGGAGTTTTGAAGACCACTATTACAGCCCTTCAAGAATCCTTTGGTTTTTTTTGACACAAGAAAACAAAATAAATGTCCAAAACCCTTGCTGAAACCAATTTTGTACCAAAATCTGTCAAATGTGAACTGTCCAAAAGAGTTTTTTCTGAGTCTTGTCCAAAACTTGGAAAAAAAGACCTCCAAACAAACCAAAGGATTCTTGAAGCGCTGTATGTACTATTTATTGGCATAATCACAACCAAACGGGGCCTTAGACTTTACAGATTGATGCAATCAATTGATTGAAATAAGAAACTTACTTTACATCCACAAAAACTTCATCTGGACCTGGTATAGGTGAATCAATATTTTTCCTGTTCACCAAGGTGACGATAAAAATCCACGGAAAGGAAAACAAGGGAAGCATAGTGTACTACAACACATTGTCATAGGGAATTTTAGTACACTCACAGAAGACATGATGGTAAAGCACTTAAGCCATCCAAGTTTTTAGTGACTTAATAACCTCTTATTTATTAAATTCTTGATACAAAGTTAATCAATAGTGGTACACAAAATTGAAAACCACATGAAAAACCCGCATGAAACCGCATGAATATTTGGTTTTCCCCACAAAAACCAAAAAATCCATGCGGTTTTTCCATATGGTTTTCTCATGTGGTTTTCAATTTTGTGTGTCGCTAATGAGCTTCGATGGATGAATGAGGTTTTAGATGAGTGAACACTACAAATATCAAGTTCATGTTTACATATCGAACTTGATCGGTTATCGTTCACCACCGGGACCGGATCCCCAAACGTGACCGGTTATTGCTTGTCGGCTATGCTTGCAACAATTCAACTTCAGAAGTTCAGAAGTTGCAGTGGTTGGACTGCTTGTGATAAGTACCATTTTGTGTTTGAATTCAGAAACATTATTTATCTATGCTTGGGAAAGGTATGATGTTGATGTGTTGAAGAATGCAAGCTCCTGCTAAGTGGATGTTGATGCACTGTTGAGGGTTTCCAACCAAACTTTTGGTGGTGGTAACTTTGAATGTGATCATGATCACTTTGAAAGAAACATATCAAGGTATTTGTGTGACCTCAATTATCCTGATCATCTCACTTCAGACAACAGGTATAAGAATCTTTAAATGCAACTTTTAAGGCATGCAAAAGGATGTACGTATGTAAATGTATGTAAATGGAGAGTTTGTACAGGATATATATATTGGTAGACGCTGAAAATTTTGGATTTCCTCAGTTGGAGAATAGTGCATGTGATATGTTTCTTCAAAGTATGTTTAACACATAATTAAGTAGTTTCCTTTCAGTCTTTTTAAGGTGGTGGATAATGAAGGCAAAGCTTTGATTGTTTTTTCATACAATTTGTCTTAAAGACATTTTTAATTTCTTCGTGTGCCACAAAAAAGTACAATGCACCATTGATGTGCGTAAGGTTTTGTATGCTGAAGTTGAATGTCTTCTTTATAACTACAAAACGGAGTGGGGAAATGTGAGATTTTTGAATTGTTTGTGATTTTAAAGATATGAACATTTGAATTGTATTTACAAGTGAAGAAGTTGTTTTTTGGTCACTTTTGTTCGATAACCTTTGCTTGCTTGTTATGTGATATTGGCATATCAAAAAGATCCGGTCAATTTGTGATTAAGGGTCAAAAAAGGAAGGGAACTGAAGGATCAGAAAATTCAGACCAGGTCAAATCCTAGAAGAACAGGGTAGCTTTGATATCAGACAAAATCACACCCCGGTAAATGAAAACCTAACTCACTCATAAATCAACTATGATAAGATCTGCGTATGGTCACTTGAATATTGAATCTGTTGCAGTGGTTTTGCAATAAAAGTAATTGATCCTCAACTTCTTGATCTTGAGGGTCAAGCTCAGGTCTCGGGCAGCCACGAACCTCCAGCTTCTTGAGACGAGGCCATCTAGCATCAGACAGAGTCTTATTTAGTGAAATGCAATGTTCTGATGTCCAGTAAGTCCAGTCAAGAGATCCTAAAGATATACAATCTCGGAAGCTGTCCAGCAAGTTCGCGTTCCCGCTACCAAGCGCCAAGTGGGTTAAATTTGGGAAAGATAGAGGACTATGGGGGTTCCAACTAGGATCGTCTTCCCAGGTGCCATCCTCCTTACAATAGAAGCGAAGCATGAGATTCGTCACGTAAGGTGCAATGTGATGAGTGATCCTAAGGGCTGCACTTGGCATCAATTTATCACAATTGTACATTTCGAGATGTGTGATGGTTCTTGGCCAATTGTAGAGACACCAGGTTTCATCTATATCTCCATTGAACCATAATGTCAGTCGCGATAAATATTTGAGTTTGGATAGATTAAATCCAAAGGAATCGTCGCCATCAGGTGATGTACTGATACAAACCGTAAGTGACTCCAGCAAAGGTAGGTTGTCAACAACTTTTGATGGGAATTCCTTCGATATCAGCGTTTGAGACCCGAATGAAAGATGCGTAAGTTGTTGAAGACTTGACAATAATGGAATTAGGTTTGATAAAAAAACTTCTGTTCCACCTGTGTCTTCATCTAGTTCTTCATAGTGGTAATAAAGATCCAGCCCAGAGAGGTTGGGGCACCGATTGATCAACTCTCTGGCGTTCTTTGGTGAGATCAATTCGGACTCGGTTTGGGATTCAGGGATGAGATTATCATAGAAGTGATCATATGCGAATTCACCAGGAGCTTTGCTGCAGTTTTCGGAGAGATTGAGTACAAGAGATCGGACATGGGAACCTCGTTTACAAAGAATATCTTCGGTCCATAGATCTATGGGTGCCGGAAGTAAAGTAGGAAACTCTAATACCTGAAGGTCATCATGAGTTATTGAGCGTGATCAGAAAGCTTCCTTTCTTTGACCAGTTGTTCTCAAGATGACTCACTTGCCATAACCACGGTTCACAACGTCTGTATATTTCACGCGAAGTAAGTGAAAAGGTTTGGATCAGATTCAAAACTGGCGAGTTTCAGTGCAAGTAAGTCGTATATGGCGCCCGGTCACCTGGACCCTTGATTACCACCTTGCCTAAGCACTTTTGTTCATAAATTTCTGAATGCTCGAGATCAGCCATGTCTTCAATCTGTTCGAGTATCTTGTAAAAGACTTGTTTTTGATAAAGAAATCTAATAAAGCTGTAATAGGATCCCTTCCATTTAATTCTTGAGCGCGAAACTTCTGTCTTGCATTATAAATGTCTTTCATGATAGGATTGAAACCCGGATTCTTTTCAAGAGAGGTCATAATGTGGCGTTGTTTGATTGAAGATCTACTTAATTTTTGAGCTAACATGATCTGAATTAAATCTAATCTTCTATATATTGAGAATTCATCAGGAGATTGAAAACGTTCATGATTGTGAGATAAATGGTTAAGGAATTGTCCAGTACTACTATTCTTGACTTGATCTAAAACCCAATCCCAGTTTTCTTATTTTGTTTGATAACAGCCTTCCACTGAAATCCGGTGTTCTTAGTTTCGTCTTGAATAACATTTTGAACTTGATCGGATGAAATTTCGATTCCATGGAAAACGCGAGATTCGGATAAGTCGCTGACAGATGAGAAGGAGCCATGGGGGTTTTCTGATTGACCGAGTTGCAGAAAGATGTCAAGCATAGATTCTTTTGACCAAGTGAATCCTCCCGCATCGAGTTCATCGAAACGCTTTCGAATATAGTCAACATGTTGGTTCATCGGGTTGGCCGCCTTGTGACATTTAGACACGATCTCATGCCAAAGTGCAAGCTGAGTTGTGCAGCAAGAGGACAGCATCTTGTTGTACACGCTGATCACTCGTTATATTTTCGAGAGGATCAACGTAGATGATAGGGCTGAGAAGCTGCAAAGAACTATAGATTGTCTCTCGAAGATCAATCCTACCAAAACGTCGGGATCGAGAAGGTTCGAATGAGATGAGGTTATCACAAAGATTTAGGCAATTAGGTAGCAGAGTAGCAGGCGCAGGGAAGTCTTTTGGCAGATAATAACAGGCTCAGAGATAAGACTAACTTAACTAAGTCCCTCTGTGGCCCAGACATTTTTTCCTCGCGAGCTCGGGTGTCTGGGAGAGGGACTTTACATCTATGTATTGGTCAGAAGACTCTTACGCACTCTATGTGAGGAATCGCCCGATTCTCAACATGCAAAAGGTAGCGGAGCACATGCCACAGATTGGACTTACTTTGGGGGAGCACGTCCAGTTTCCTGGGAAAGCTCTCGTGAGTACTCGTCCCAAAATCATCTTCAAGGATTAAGTGTCCACTCTGTTCAATCTAATGAAGGGAACAGTCAGGTATCCCTATGTAGTGTAAAGAAACCACATAAGACATCTGAGGCTCATTTGATGGTGAAAAATCGAGTCCACTGGGTTCATAGTCACCTTTGGTGATAAATTCAAAAATGTGCTACACTAGCTCGCCTCAACTCGCACGTGGCAAAACTACGGAGTTTGGAGCATCATCTTCAATTGTCATCTCTATGTGAGAAGAATATCATCTGAAAGCTAGTATAAGCTACTTTAGAAACAGAGACAATGCTGAAGTTTCTAGCTTTTTTATGGAGTTATGAACAAAGAAAACAGAGTGAAAAATGGAGCCAAAAGGATATCAAGACAATTGGGGTTTCATATACTAATAAAGTGATCATGTTTGAGATCTGTCTTGATTAACTTGGCTGACATTCTAAGGTCATTCATCTTTTTGAATTTGTTTGCCTTCCTGGAAGTTGATTGAATTGATTTTTGCATGAGATTACAGTTATTTTTTTTGAAAAGTGATTTGAATCTTCAGTGGGCTCAAAAGGTCCTCAATGTCTCAAGAAGTTAAAACGTTTGATAGATGGATTGTGTGTAGGAGAAGTATAATGACCAGATGATAGTGGCGGTGATTTCTATGTCTGTTTCACTAACAAAGTCTACTACTAGTCATCACAAATTGAAAGATTTGACATTTGCAGTACCAAAGAAGGGATTAGTAAAAGTACAAAGATCAGATATAGAAGACATGAATAAGTTAGTAAAGGTTCATCTAGAAATTCTTTCTTGACTCAGTTACCAGGCCGGCGTATAAAAAGGTTTAGATTGGCTTGTTGACAGTACTTCTCCAAGGAAACTAGTTGTTCTTCAATATCTCGATGTTTACCGTTAGGTTCATAGCGGACCCAAAAATAAGGAACTACAACCAGTGTGGTGAGCTGAGGCCAAGGAGATTGAGATAGGATCCTGTTCAGTGTCTGACAATGTTCTAATGTCCCGTAAGACCAATGAAGACGTCGTATAGAAACACAGTCTTGAAAGCTTTCCAGTGAGTCGGGTTTTTTAGTGGAAAGCTTCAAGTCATTTAGAAATGGAAGAGAGAAATTTTCCCAGGAGTCATGATCACTCGAATCAAGCCTGAGCTTGGTCAAGTGAGGTGCAATGTGGTGAATGGTTTGATGACCTAAACTTGATGATGAAAAACTAGAATAGCAAATCGAAAGATCAGTTAATGTCCTTGGCCAATCGTAAAGACACCAGTCTACATATATATCATCTGAAAATCCCACTAAATCCAATCGTGATAAAAATTTGAGTTTAGATAGTTTGAATCCAAAAGAATCTTTATCAATCCTTTGGCTATGTCCATATGATCCATCCAATGTAAGAGACTCAAGCAAAGGTAGACCACTAAGAAGTTTTGATGGGAATCTATACATGTACATCTGCTCGTCATTTCTATCCTCTAATGAAAAATGCCGAAGGTGTTTGAGACTTGATAATAGTGGAATCAAATTGATGAGAAAATTCTCTGTTCCATCAAAGTCGTTTATATCGTCATAATGTTCAAATCGGATCTCTAGCGTAGACAAGTTGGGACAGCGTTTGATCAAGGACTTTATATTCTTTGGCGAGAGAAACTCAATTTGAGAAGCGTCTTCTGGATCAGTCGTAAGATTATCGTACAGTGAAGGATAATCCTCAAAGTCGTTGGGAGATTTACTGCAGTTTATGGAGAGTGTGAGTTTTAGAGATCGAACACAGGTGCCTTGTCGGAGGAGGATATCTTTGGTCCACAGATCCATCGATCCTGGAAGAGAAGTAGGGAACTCTAATCTCTGAAAATTGATATCAATGGTTGATGGTGATTAGTAAGCATTCCTGGATGAACAAGTTGATTTTGAAAATGACTTACCCTCCATAACCATGGTCGACATAGTTGATATATTCCGCGAGAAGTAAGGGAAAAGGCTTGGAAGCTATTCAAGATTGGCGAGCGATGGTTCGAGTAGGTGAAGTATGGTTCATGGTCACCTGGAATCGAAACCTTCACCCTACGCTTGCGCTTTCTAGACTGAATACTCTTAGCCTCAAGCCTAGCCATGCAATCAAGTGTTTCGAGTATGTTCTCAAAAACCTCAGTAGGTAGATCCATGAGACCCAAAGGACGAGATTTATGTCGGAGTTCCTCACTTTGAATCACTTGCTTAACTTCATCAGATGAAAATCCAGATCGTTGATCATGAACCCGAGATTCAAGAATCTTGGTCACCGATGAGAAAGAGCCGTGTGCAGCTTCTGATAGACCGAGTTGAAGAAAGATACCCAGCGTAGATTCTTTTGACCAAACAAAACCTTGTGATTCAAGTTCTTGAAAACGATCTTGAATAAAGTTGAGATGATTGTTGACTGGCTGAGTCTCATCATGACGTTTTGAGACAATCTCGCGCCAAAGTCCAAGTTGAACTGTCCGACCAGAAGATGACATATTGATATACTTTTCTGAGGAGCTAGTTCCCCTATGTCCCCAAGCGACTCCGTAAAGAAAAGAGCCGAAAAGCTTTGATAGAGGACGACGATTCGTCTTCCAAAGACTAAACCTCTCGAGAAATTAATTTAGGAGAACCGATGTAAGGAAGAGATCTGGTAAGGTTTGACAAGGTTTGGTTTATCTTTTGAGAGAACAGCCAGCTGAAACCGTGACCGGGAAAGATGCAGAGAATCAAGGGTGAATTAGCTTGGATCAAGCTAGAACCCAAGACTGAAAGATGAGAAGGGAGAAAAAGAAAAATGATCGTGTAGAAAACACCACGGCTTCACCATCTGAGACTGTGATCTACATATGTACTTTTCCCTTTGATCAAAACTCAGGATAAGTATGCGGGCAAGTCAGTGAGATTCGAAGCCGTTGAAAAAACCCAGACCCCAAAAATAACCAAATATTCCAAACATTGCATGATGATGCTTTTGTAAATGTAGCATACATGCTGGGACAGAATGGGAAGGACGCCAACACTTGAAGCGACCCGCTCCAAAAAGCGGGTGCGGAGCGGCGGCGGGGCGGTCCGCCCCGCCGGCGCTACAATTTTTTTGAGCTTGGGCTTCAACCGACCCGCCACCGCTTTCTTTCCGAGATTATGTACATAGCGGATCGGACAGTTAGCGCGGCGGGTCTTTTTTCCGCCCCGCAGGCCGCTCTCAGAGCGGTATGCAGCGGTTCGTGCCAGATTGACACATCCATCTCCAGATGGCTGTGTCCATGCCTCCACCTCAACCTATCCCACACGAAATCGTACGACACCTTCACCAGCCTCCACCACCTTTTCCGCAGGTTCCATCATATCTCGATTGTCATCCACGAAGCCCTTCGAAACTTGGCGGAAAACCTTCCGATATCCCTCGATATCCTTTGTTTTTGGCCAAACCTTCACCAAATTGACGATTCCGATATCGCAATAGTTTGGCATGACTCAAAGTAAGACGCCATGCCCTTCCTTCCATCTTATCTCACTTCGAGTTGCAAGCCAAACTGACGTCACAACCCTTACAAAATGATGGACCCAAATATGAGAAAGATAAACATATAGAATCAATCTTTTTGCAAAATCAACAATCACTTATTGAATACTGACACGATTTTTTTTGTTAATTTTGAATATAGATGAAATGAATGATCCGGAATTTGTGAAAGACATTGATATAAATGATCAACGAAATAGGTATCTCTTAACTAAAGGACCAACCCGAGCTGAAGTACATATTCACACTCTGAATCAAATTAACAAGATTTTTGGTTATGAGAGCTAATTTATTTTGAAATTTGTTTTAGATTCAACAAGAGACAGGCTGTTCAGTAACGACAAAAGGTCAATGGTCAGTATCATACATTCTCTTTTCTTACAACCCGAAAAGATTACTGAATTACGATGGGTTCATTAGGTACCCAGATCGAACGATGGCAAACGATCGAGATCCACCACTTTATCTTCATTTAACAGCTACAACTCAAGAAGTATTAGATAAAGGGATTGCAAAAGTGAATGAATTGATAGACCAAGATCTAGGTCCACTAACTGAACAACCGTACGTCTCACCAATGTTTTTCAGTCTTTCTTCACAAATCCTGAGAAAGTTTTTCCTTTCTTTTTCTTCTTGCAGGTTTACTCATCAAAGAAGTGAAAGACAACCTAGAGAACGTCAGAAATGGCCAGAACATAAAATCGAAATCGGACTTGAAAGTTTAAGAAACTTGAATGTTAGGGCTAAAGTAGTAGGACCAGGGGTGAGAAATGATCGTTTTAGCTCAATGGATTCAGATTGGTTGACTAATCATCAGGATTTCTTGAATCATTTCGATTGTTAGGGTATGTTTGTAAAATATATCCAAAGTGAAACTGGATCTAGAGTACAGATCAAAGGGATGGGATCTGGATTTTATGAAACTGACACGGGTACCGAGTCGACCGAACCCATGCATATCAACGTCACGTAAGTCTTTCATTAACTTTCTTTACAATATCGTACATATATCTTTCTTGCATGTGAATAATTAAAAAAAATGTGAATAAATTTCCGCCTCGTGCCGCTCCCTTGCCCTGAAATTTAATGAAGCGGAGCGAAAGCGGCGCCGATAGGCGCCGCGCTTCATGATACATGTAGCGGGAGCTTTTTGAAAGCGGATCGAGAGCGTGTTCATCTGTAGCGCCAAAGCGCACCGCTCCGAAATTTGCTTCAAAAAGCGGAGCGCCGCGGAGCGCTTCAGGTGTTGAGGACGCTGGTGAGTTGTTTTCCTTGTAGTTTGGAACTCGTTTTAACGAATTGGAATCGGGGAAAGCAGAGTTGGCTTTGTGAAAGACAATCAATTGTTTGTGAAAGACGGGAGCTCTTCATCATATAGAAGATCTTACTAAAACTTACATTTAGCACAGCGTGTTGTCACAATGGTATTTTCTCCATTACAAATTTCCTTATCAATTTAGTTTGTATCATCCATTCCATTATCAACGGTTTTTATAAGCTATATCATTGTCTCTCGACTTTCTTTAGTTGCTCAAAAAACCTTATAAAAATTGGTTTCCCGCCATCCCTCCTGTTGTTTTAGGGTTGTATTTTATCTTATTTGTTAGTGACCACTCCATCGGGTTTCTGGTTGTAGCAATTTAGGAGTCAGACCCTCCGGGGACGTCTTGCGTTAATCAACAAGTCTGTTCAAAAAACAACTCCGCGCCAAATATAATTCCAAACCAAACGAAAAGTCAACGTTTATTGGATACATGTATTCATGATTGGTTGCTTTGTCACATTGTGTTCATTCATCATGAAGGTTCTAAGAAATAAATTGTACAAATGCTTTCAAGGAATCCTAATATTCTCAGTCTGAAAGTGATATACATAATTTCGAGTCATTGACTTCAAAACTTAAATCTAGCAACAAGAAAACTCTTCAAAACTCTGCCAGTACAATCTTACAAGAGCTGTACGTGAAGACTTGCACAGTCAGCTTCAATAATTTTCTCCTTTGAATCTTTCACTTGCCACAAAATCAGGTTCAAGGCTGTGTTGTAGTAGGATTCAACTTTAGACTTAGAGCATCCCCACCGCGCCGCCGGAAACGTAACGTTTCTGACATAAACGTAAATTCAACATTACGTTTCCAGCCAGACGCCCTCCACCGCGTCCAAATAGTCCCACACCTGGCCACAGGTGTCAGCTTACGTTTCCAAAAATTTTGGAAACGTAAGAAATCTTCGAGTTGTTGCTAGTTGAGCTGAAAACTCCGGAAAACTTGTTTTCCCATACTTTGGACATTCCAGCTTCACACGCAGACCTTAGTTGGTCACAGTGTGTGCTATCTTGGATGACAATTACCACCACTTGATTGTCCGAGCGAGTGATCGGCCAAGATACTGGATTTTTCCAGAAGTTGCAATCCGACGAAACTGTCATTCATGACAGAGGTAGAACCGCAAAAGCGATATCCAGCTCGCGCGGTGCTGGCAAGGCTGGCTGCAGATGAGATACAGCTGCCCGTCTGTCAATTTGGACAGCTGTATCAAGTTTACGGTTCCAGCCGCGGTGGGGATGCTCTTAGAGCATCCCCAACGCGCCGCCGGAAACGTAACCTTTACATAGGGTTTACCTAGCATTTCTGACAGAAACGTAATGTCAAAATTACGTTTGCAAAGATTTTCCGAAAAACAGCCTCCAGCGCGAGTAAAAAGTCGCACAGTTGGCCATGGGTGCGATTTCGTTTATTCCGCCAGCTGGAATACGTACGGTTTGTTCCAATTGTTTCTAGCTGAGCCGGAAACCTCGGAAAACGTGATTTCTCACAATTTGGACACGTTGAGACCACGAAACTCGCCTCTTTCGTTCCTTCGTGTCCTATCTCAAAGCTTGAAGCACACATTACCACGACCTCGATCAGATCAAGCGGCCAATCCATGCGATTGATCTGATCGTGTCCTATCCTTAGACAGGGGTAGAAAACTGAATCTCTTATTCAGCTTGCGCGGTGCTGCCTACTGAAGCTGAAGCTGAAATACAGGTGTCCAAGTGTCATTTGTGACACCTGTACCAGGTTTCCAGTTCCCGGCGCGTTGGGGATGCTCTTAATCTGATCTTTACAAGCTGATCTCATACATTATGTAAGTTTGATTGAGATGACTCTTGAAACTGATCTCTGGACCTAGGGCAAGATAGAACGCAAAGATTTGGTTGGAAATCTTTCAGTTTGAATGATTGGTATGACGAATCGTGATCGGCTTGGCTTTTGATGACCGCACTGGTGATGGCTGTCAACTTTCAAGGCATGTTGTCCAGAAGGGTTTGAATGAAATGATTGAAGAGATCCGATTAAGGTTGGGTGACAGGTGTAGATGTAGAAAGAGGAAAAGCGGAAGATGAGAAAGGTTGATCAGATCGATGAGATCATCAACCAAGTTAAAGTTTGAAAGTTTACGTAAGAACACAGCCACAGAGAGTATGATAGAGCGGTTTGGAATTTCACTCTCGAATTTTGATCACATCGACAATTCACGAATGGTTCTTTAAAAAGACACTATCATCACTTTTACTTTTACTTTTACTTTCACCTTACAAAGGTACATCATTATTTTGATCTCAGTCAGTCATCAATGTATTATTTACTAAATTACTAAATTCAATCAAACGGTCATCGAATTAGGAAAACAAAGAAAGAAAGAACGAATCGAATCGAATCAGGTCAAGTAGAAAATCACAAAACTAACTAACTAATCAAACAGAACTACTACTACTACTAGAAACTGAACTGGTTCAAATTCATTATCAATCAAATCAAACCAACTAGTATCATCATTCATCATTTACTACATCACTCATCAACTCATCAACTCATCAAATCATCATTCGCATCACTTCACATCTTAATCCTATTCCTCATAACCGAGGACTAATCATCAATCTCATTCACTCATCTCAATCTCAACTCAACCCACCATGTCATCCAACTCACCACAACCCATCCCAACAGAAAAACCCAAAGAATCATCAATCCATACTATCCAACCCACCTCATCACCTACAGATTTCAACCTGACCCCATCCCAACTATCTAAACTAATCGATCCTAAATCGATTCAAGACCTCAAAACCCTAGGAGGCATCTCTCAAATCGCTGCTGCCCTACACACCGATCTTCAAAACGGACTGAGCACCTCAGCAGCAGAATCATCATCAAGATCAGATGTCTATGGAAAGAATCAGTTGCCGGTCAAACCTACCAAGTCGCTGTTGGGATTGATGTGGACGGCTTTGCAGGATAAAGTGTTGATTATCTTGATCATTGCGGCGGTCGTGTCTTTGGCTTTAGGACTTTATACTACACTGGGTACTCCTCCTAAGTCTTATATCAACTCTAGTGGTCAAAGAATTACAGAACCTCAAGTAAGTGACATTTTACAAACCGAATTTCTAATCTGATTCCTAACCAAAACTAATCCTTTTTTGGGATGATTTCTTTGGTGGTGGTGACGGTTTAGGTAGATTGGGTAGAAGGATTAGCCATCTTGATTGCAGTAGCTATTGTAACAATCGTAGGATCTTTGAATGATTATCAAAAAGAAAAACAATTTGTGAAACTGAATTCGAAAAAAGAAGATCGAATGATCAAACTATTACGAAACTCTGGGGAACAAACATTAGTGAACATTTCAGAAGTCGTAGTAGGAGATATAGCAGTTTTGGAACCTGGAGAGATTGTTCCGGTGGACGGGATCTTTGTTGATGGGTATGGAATCAAATGTGATGAGAGTAGTGTAACAGGTGAAAGTGATTTAATAAAGAAAACTAAATTCTCATTCGAATCATCATCAGAAGAAGTAGATTGTTTTATGATCTCAGGTTCGAAGGTGGTCGAAGGATATGGAACTTATTTGGTCATTTCTGTGGGGGAGAATTCGTTTTATGGAAAGATTATGATGAGTTTGAGAGGTGAAAATGAAAACACTCCACTTCAGTCTAAGTTGAATCATTTGGCGGAATTGATTGCTAAGCTTGGAGCTACGGCTGGGGTGATTCTTTTTGTGGCTTTGATGATTCGGTTTTTTGTTCAACTTGGTACGAATCCGGATCGGTGAGTGAAAAGTTTTCTTGTTTTCTTGACTTGAGGAAAACTTTTCTGATTTTGGTTTTTTTTTTATTTCTTTTAGGTCTCCGAATGATAAAGCTCAAGCGTTTATTCAAGTCTTGATTATTTCGGTTACAATTGTGGTAGTGGCAGTACCAGAAGGTAAAGTGTTTTTTTTTGAATTGAAATCTTGAAGAAAAAAGAAACATGCAATACTGACGTTTTTCTTCTGACTTGATTTTAATAATAGGTCTTCCATTGGCTGTGACACTTGCTTTAGCATTTGCTACAAGACGAATGACCAAGATGAATTTGTTAGTAAGAGTTTTAAGTTCGTGTGAAACGATGGCGAATGCCACTGTGATCTGTACAGATAAAACGGGTAGGTGATTTCTATTATCCAAAACCAAAAAAGAGAGGCTGAGAAACAAACTAATCGATGTGAACTTTTTGTTTTCTTAGGTACTTTAACCCAAAATAAAATGACCGTTGTTGCTGGATCGATTGGAGTGAATTTAAAGTTTGCTAATTTGGTAGAAGAGAATGAAGGAAGGATTCCGAATGATGAACCGATCGATTCATCCAGTTTATCAAGTAAATCAGATCCCCCAAAACCAATCGTTAACCAACCTAAAATCACCCTTAATCAAAGTGATACCAATCGATTAGATTTTTCAATTGATCAAACGGATCTAAACGAAACCTTGAACCCCAAGCTCACTGAACTTTTAATCCAATCCATCGCACTAAACTCGACGGTGTTTGAAGATTCGAATTCCAATAGTTTGATCGGATCTAAAACTGAAGTAGCTTTGATCGAATTGATGAAACAACAAAGTTGGAAAGATTTTAATCAAGTACGAAAAGATGAAGCTGTAGTTCAAATGATTCCATTTAGTTCTGAAAGGAAATCGATGGGAGTGGTGATTCAATTGAAAGAATCCGGATCATCAACTCATCAAAAGAAATATCGGTTCTTGGTTAAAGGTGCATCTGAAGTGTTAAGTAAATTAACTAAAGATTATGTTTTGGTATCGAAAGAGAAAGCAGAAGATCAAGAAGGAATGATTGAGATCAAAGAGTTTGATGAAGAGAGTCGATCGAACATTAACCGAACGATCATGTGTTATGCTACTCAATCTTTAAGAACCATTGGATTGTGTTATCGAGATTTAAATGAAGATGAATGGAAAGAAGGAATGAGTTATGAAGATTTGATGGGAGATAATCAATTGACTCTTTTGGCTATTGTGGCCATTGAAGATCCTTTGAGGATTGGAGTCAAGGAAGCTGTTAAGGATTGTTTAGGTGCTGGGGTTGGAGTGAAGATGGTCACGGGTGATAATGTTTTAACCGCAAAGTTTGTTGAATTTTTGATTTCTGTAGTCTTGAAGCGGTTTAGATTGAAGTTTTGGTTTGTGGTTTTTTTCTTTTCTTTTGTAGGTCTATTGCTACTCAGTGTGGGATTTATACACCTGGTGGGATCATAATGGAAGGTAAAGTTTAATTCACTTTTATTTATTATTAGATCAACCTCTAACATATATCTTTTCTTTTGGGGAAAATCACAGGACCGGTTTTTAGAAACCTGACTGAACATGAAAGGTTATCAATCAGTCATCGATTACAAGTCTTAGCAAGATCATCACCAGAAGATAAGAAGATCTTGATTGAAACTTTACGAAAGTTGGGAGAGATTTGTGCAGTAACAGGAGACGGAACGAATGATGGACCTGCTTTGAAAGTTTCACATGTTGGGTTTTCAATGGGGATCACAGGAACTGAAGTGGCTAAAGAAGCTTCGGACATTATTTTGATGGATGATAATTTTGCGAGTATTGTGGATGCGATCATGTGGGGTAGATGTGTGAATGATTCGGTTAAGAAATTCTTGCAGGTTTGTGATGGGTTTCGATCTTTTTTCTTGGAAAAGAAGATGAGGATTGATGTTTTGGTTTTTTATTGGTAGTTTCAACTTTCGGTTAATATTACGGCTGTGATTATTACATTTATTACTAGTGTTGCTTCTGATAGTGAAAATTCTATCTTGACGGCTGTCCAGTTACTTTGGGTGAATTTAATTATGGAGTTGAGTTTGATGTTTTTTTATCAATTTATTTAAGAGAAAGAGAAACAAACTGATTTGATTTTTCTTCTTCTTAAAATCACAGTACGTTTGCTGCCTTAGCCTTAGCCACTGATCCAGCATCTAAGTCATTATTAAAAAGAAAACCAGATCATATTAATTCACCATTGATAACGATTGAAATGTGGAAGATGATTTTAGGACAATCTGTGTTTCAGCTGATTGCGATTTTGATTTTGAATTTTAAAGGACGAGAGATTTTAAAGTTGGATTATCAAGGAGATGATCAAGGAAGAATGATTCAAGATTCGAATATCCATAAAACGATTGTCTTCAATACGTTTGTGTTTTGTCAAATCTTTAATCAATTTAATTCTAGAGTTCTCGATCGGTCTTGGAATGTTTTCAGAGGCTTGTTTAGGAATGTTTATTTCTTGGTGATCTTGTTGATCATGGTAGGAGGACAAGTTGAGTACAAACCAAGACTTCTTTGTGATTTTTTTCTTAAAGTTTTGGTGTGAGATGAAACTGATGGTTTTTTTCGGGGGGCCTTTTGGAAATAGATTTTGATTGTCGAAGTAGGAGGAGCAGCATTTCAAGTGACTAGGATTGGAATCAAAGATTGGATAATCTGTTTGATCATTGGAGCTTTATCATTACCGATTGGAATGATCGTGAAGGTTTTACCGACTAAACCGTTTCAATTGGGATATGATTGGTTAATGAATTTGAAGATCTTTAAACCTAAGGAAAAAGGTTTGGAAGATGGAAAGGAAAAGATGGATGGAGGTGAGGATGGAGGTCAAAGAGGTTGGAACCCGGCTATTGATCAAGTTCGAGATAATTTAGCTACTTTTGGTCAGATTAGAGGTCAGCTTTTTGATGATTTTTTTTTTCGATTTTGGAGACAAAAGATCGGATGACTGATGTGGGTTTCATTTGGGGGGGGAATTGTAGGTGGGAGAGTTAGGAGTTCTAGTTTGGTTAAGAAGTCTAGACATTCGATGATGAAGGAAAAAGGAATTCATACTGGAGAGTTAATGACGATGGTAAGTGAAATGAAACCAAAACCCCCAAAAAAAGAAGCAGGAAAAGAAAAGCAAAGGGATTGATGTGATTTTTTTTTGGAATGTGTAAAGGTACCTACTTTGGTGGTGACATCTATTGGAGCAGGATGGCATCCTTATCCTTCAAAACAAAGGTCTAGAACTTCATCACAGAGAAGAAGATCTGATTTAGCGGATCCGAATTCGATTGATCCGAGTGTTTCGGATTCGAACCTTTGGATTCAAAAAGTCGAAATTCATCCAGATACAGATCCGAATGATGTAAGTGAGAGACTTGATTGACCACAAAGAAAAAAAGAAGTGAAGGATTTACTTTTTTTTTGGTTTTTTTTTTGGTTTTTTTTTTGGTAGCCTATGATGATGAAGTTTGGTAGGAAATCAGAAAAGATGGATCGGATTAAAGAAGAAGAACACGAAGAGAAAGGAGTGTTTCATGAAGAAGCAGAAGAGATTAGTATGATTAATACTAATAGTAGTTTGATACATGATGAGATTGAAGAAAGTAAAGAGGATGTAGAGATTCATGATGTAGAAGAAAAGCCGAAAGATGCAAGAGGAGTAGGAGGAGATGGGAATTTGAAAGTGCCAGAGGTTGTTGATCATTCATAAGATTTCTCTTTTAATGTTTTTTTTTTTTTGCAAAAGGTGTGAAGAGGAAAATGGAATGGAAATGGAAAAGGGCACAACAAAGAAGTGGACGATTTAATTTTTCTCTTGATCTTCTTTATCTCTTTATCTTCTTTGGGGGAATTCGGATGGACTTCTCTTGGTTTTTTTTTTTTTTTTTTTTTTTGGGAACAATTGATTTGTTTGTTTTATTATTTGAAAACTTTAATCTACTGAAAAAAAGATTGATCTAACGAAAAAAAAATAGTTTGTTTTTATTATAATTATAATTATTTTTATCATTATTTTTATCATTATTATCATCCTTGAATTTTTATCAATAATGATTAATTATGATTGATTTATGATGACGGATCACTCTAAGATCTTTATCGTATAATGTTTTTCTTTGTTTTAACACATTTCTTTAACCATCTTCTTTTGAGAGTTTGTTGAGATTTATTTACAGTATATTAGTGGCTCTCAAACCTGAGCCAGTTTCAAAAAACCCGGTTGCCCCAGTTGAATTTTTGGCTGGGAGCTGTCAACAAATGTCAACTTGATACACAAAGTTACTGCCAAAAAACAACTGGGTCAACTGGGTTTTTTGAAAACCGGGGCAGGTTTGAGAGCCACTATTGTACATATAACAATTAATTAAAGATGAAAAAAACAAAATCTTTTTTCTTTTTCTGCTTCTCTGATCTTTTCCTCTTTTTCCGTTTTTGATATTTTTACTCTATAAAAAAATTACAATGATGGTTATAATGATGATGATTTAATTTTTTAATTTTTTAAAGTTTTTAAAGGTTTCTTTTTTGTTGTTATTTTTTTTTTGGTTTTTTTTTCTGATGGGGTTTTTTCTTTTGTGATTTGTTACAAAATCAGTTTTAATTTTACTTACATGTTTTCTTGTTATGTAACTTTTCTATATATTTTTATTTTTTAATGAAAAAAAAATTGTAATGAAAAATGATAATTTTATAATTTTTTTGATTTGGGATTTGGGATTTGAAAAGGTTTTGGATGAGAGAGAAAAAATTAGATAAGAAAAGAAGGGAAAAATGAAATATGAAAGAAAACAAAACAAGAACAAGATGAGATTGAGAAAGAAAATAAAACAAGATGAGAAAGAAAACACCAAATGAAAATGAAAATGAAAACAAAACAAGATGAGAAAGAAAACACCAAATGAAAATGAAAACAAAACAAAACCAAAAACAAAATAAGATGAGAAAGAAAACAAAACCAAATGAGAAAGGAAATAAATGAAATACTTTGGATGGGTGAAGATACTACAAATGATTTTTTTACTTGCATTGGTGCATTCTATTTTCTTTTATTGTTTTTATTTAGGAGACCATTGATTTGATGTAAGTATGTAAAAGTTTGGTAATCTCATCAATTCCTGATTCAAATCCTAAAATCTCCTCTCAAATCCTTAATGAAGCCTCTAATATTTACTTACTTTCATACAATCAAGTTGAAAGAAAAAAAGAATGTTAAGATAGAAAATTGGCCAGAGTAGATATACTGATTTTTTTTGATTTTTTTTGAGAAAATCAAACCTCAGAGGATTGATTGCATTTGTTTTCAGTATTAGTATAGTCTCTTGGTTTCATCATAACTTATGATCAAATTCCCTTCTTTCAATCTTCATAACATTTAATCTTTTTATTCTTAGATATTTAGCCTCACATACAAACCTTTTTGCAGGATGAACTTGATATCATTCTACTTTAACTCATCATTCTTTTTTAACTTTTTTTGTTTTCTTTCCTTTCAATTTTCCAAAAAAAAAATCAAGCTTCTTGATCTTTTGATTGCCATCCTTTCTGTATTGACTGAATCACATCATTGTTAAGATAGTAGTGCTCTGAAAAAATTTGTGACATAACAGGCTTGTGATGTAGGGTTTTTTTGGGGGATTGGAACATCTAAAAGGCAAGTGTGGAGTGGTGCAGATGGTGAAAGGTCAAATGTTCCATTCTATACTTGCATATCTGAGTCTTGAGGTGTGCACCAAACTTTGATTTTTTCCAGCTCAGGCCTGGACTAACTGTGCTGGGGATAGGACACACTTAGTCTAAGTGAGTGTGATTGTGGTCTGTTGAGACTCATCAGATATCCACTCATGATGTGTCCTTCTTACAATATGCTAAGAGGACTTGGGTTGGGGTAGCAAAGGGGCCTTAGCCCTGGAGTTTGGTTTTTGGAAATCAAGGGGCAACTCCTCTGTTGGTTTGGTGGGTGGGACCTCTTGCTTGACCAGATGGGTGGTGTGTCCTGCTCAACCAGGTGGGTGGGATGGAGCACAAAACCCACCTTGAGAAGGTGGTATGACACACGTGAAGTCTTGCAGATGAGAGTGTGAGAGATCTGACTGGGGTGATGTGGCTGGGGAGTGAAAAATGTCTGCACACTGTATGTGGGAGAGTTGCACAAACTCTGTGTGAGACCTTTCAAGTTGCCCACCTTTCACTGGTCATGCAAGCCCTTTTGAACCACCTGTGTTACAGTGGTTGTCAACTGTAAGAAGACATTCTGCAAATGACTTCTAACACAGTCAACAAGTTTATTATAGTAATTATACATATAACTCAATGAAAAAACATTACAGACAAATCCTACATCTGAATCGCTCAAGCTTGAAGAGTAAATTTTGCACAAACTGCTGGAATGACAATGCTGCAATAATTAGTCAGGGCACAAGCAATAACGTAACCCTGACTAAGAAGATAGTTACAAACTAACCTGGTTAAAAATGACAGGGACCTTTAAAACTAATCCAAACCAGGGTGTATCAATAATGTAGCCTGGACTATGTAAGCACTTAGGGTGTGCCTGAATTAGATAATCATCCAAATGATTGTTTAAGTATAAAACACCTCTCTCTAAGAGAGGAAGCAAGATCTTCATCCATAAACCAACATCCCAATCTTTAGAAACTTGAAACTCTCTTAGTTGAAACTTTCAAGCTTTAATTCTAGAATTTAGCAGCCCATTGTTTCTAGAACTTAAGCCAACTAGATCATTTAATTGAAACCTTCTTGCCTACTGTCTTATCTTAAATCACATATTCTGTTGTTCCTTGAAAGAAAACCCTTGTTGTATTAGCTCAAAAGTGTATTGTATTTTCTTATTGCACCCATTTGTTGAAAAGGACTTTTATCAATTTCATCAAATCATAGCACAAGCCAGTTTGGATTTGCCCTTAAAGATCTTATCCGCCAAGACTGTTAAGAAGACGTCTAACTGATAGGAATCAGTAGAGAGTAAACTATTGGATTCCCGAAATTCAAGAAGAGATGTCCAAGAAGTGATTTGCCAGCTCAATGGTATCTTCCTTGTTTAGATACTCATGAGATCTAATCATCCTTTATCATTAGGAACTACTTTCCTGGGCTAGAATTTATAGTGGAACAAGTTCTACCACAAAGCCCTGTAAAAATTACTTCTTACTCATTTTTAGCTACCTCATTCAGCTTAATGCCGTAGTTGCTACCACCTTTAAGGCTCAAGCTGACAGTGGTTCTGTCAATGACAAGAGTTGAAATTGAATGTGTCTTTTGATGTCTAGTGTACTTGATAGGCAGCCTGTTGGTTAATAACACTAAACAAGTGATGAAATTGATTAAAAAAAGGCACTTTTCCATTGTACACAGTTGCTTCTACAAAGTTCTCATTGCTTTAAACACATGCTCTTTGTATTTTTATAAAAGACAATGAAAGTTGTTTTTCTACTTATCAGTACTCAATTCAATCAGAGATCTTCTTATTGTCTTGTTTTAAAAGGGCAATCCGTAGACACTTTCTATCAAGTCATCTTTACTGGTACTGTAGATTGTACGGTGACCCTTCCAGCTCTGTATAACCCATGTTGAGTTATAAGCTCTACATATTGCAAGTAAACAATGTCTATCTTGCAGTTTGGTTGAGATCCTGTTCTGTTTGGTATCTCCAACCTTATGGGTTTCATGAAGATAATTTTTGAATGCAGAGATTTGATCTTGTAAACATTGATTTAGAGTTGATTGATTTTTGAAATAACTACTGAACACCCTTGCTCACATCCAAAATGCCAGTTATTGGCACAGGATCAAAGATGCTCAAAGACAGGTGCTTTGTTTGGCAGTGTTTGGTGCTACTCAATATTGTCCTATTCACTGCATAGACCAAAATCCTTTGACTGGTGTTCATTCTTGCCCTTGACGTAGACTTTTGGTGTATGGATACTGTTATCTTTCTTTGGGCTTTTCTGTGTATGAGTAACTGTATTGACAGACAAACAATTACATTGCATCTGGCTACAAGATCACAAATAACAAGTTGTTTCACCCTAACAACAATCATTGAGCTCATGTCTATGGCCCTACTCAGGTCAACCTACCAAATTCTAGCAGACTCTAAATAGCCAACCTGGTAGGTTGACCAATTTGGTGCTTGGGCTTTGAAAGGCACAAGGAATAAACCTTGTCCATGTCACAAGGACACAAGATATCTAGGTCTTTTCCAAAGGAAATCTTAGTAAGCCAGTCAAGGCTACTAGAGATGCATAGCTGAATGATGAGCTGAGATAGGAGGGTGGTGCCTGAGCCCAGGCACAAGGTTGGAAGAGGACATTGAATAAATAAATAATCAAGTTTTTCTATTCTCCCTTTGAAAAGAAATCTCCC